ACTGATACACTGATTACCCCTAGAGTTTCCAAACCACATGCAGTTTAGGGGCAACCAAGAAAGAACGTAGAAAAAAATCAGCCCTGTTCTCTTTGGAAAGAGCATGCACCCAAGCACATAGAGCTTTTTCTGCCCGACCTGTGCCATAATCTCAGAGAGTGCCTGATACAATCACCACCAGAGCAAGACTACCTTTCCCAACTTCATTTCCCATTGTCCCTCCCACTGTGTGGAGCTGCAGTACACCATTCCGCCTCAACTCCTATTCCTTTCGCTCCAACCCCACACCTCCAGATGGTGTCCGTGGCCTTGGAAATGGGTCACAATGGAGTGTCCTGGTTCAGGGTCACACTGTTAGCCTGCCCTTCTTTCTATTAATGACAGCCTGAATTATTGATTACCTTTAAAACTTCCTATGATGTCAGTAGAAAATTCGCTTTTTAAAAGAATTACCGAAACATGGTAGTAAATGATTTTCCTCACAAGAAAAAAAAAGGCCACTACCATCATTTCCCCTTTATTTCTAGGCCACACTTAAAGTTATTATCAAGAGCACTTTGCATTTGCAAGTTTCCAGATAAATTGTTTTTCTCATCATTACCACTTATTATGAAAATGTTCATTGGATGCCAACATTCTGGAAGATGCTGTTGTTGTACCAAATCAGACCCAAGTAACATCCATACAGCAAGTCCAAGGGCAAATGCACTGTGCACTGTTTGCTATGGATGGACATGCAGGTGGGGAGTGGAGCAGCCCAACTGGGTCATTAAAACAAGCAACGTCCATTCATTTGTGTGTCCCACCAGGTTCACTTGCTAAGACTGACACACAGCAACTTGCAGATACTGGTAAAGACAAGCAGAACACTTCATGCAGCAATAGTGATGTGCTTTTCCTGAGTGGTATGGACATTGCCCTCAGAGCTTCAGGGGTCCAGCAGGTGAGGTTAGTGGGTGAAGAAAGTTTCCTAAAACAATGGAAAGTGGTGGGAATGTTTCCATCTGGAGCAGACCAGCCCCTCTACTTTGGGCAGCCACTGCACGGCTCCGGAGTGTTGGCCATGTGGAATGTTGGCCAGCCAGCAAGGCCAGATCTCTGATTTTTTTCTTTTTAAGAAGCCAGAAATCTGGAGTTGCGTGTTAAATTTCCTAATTTTTTCCTGTGTTGGCAATTAATTTAGCTTTCTTCTTCTCTGTGAGCCAGCTTCGGCCAAGTCCTACCAGTTTGTGAGCCCAAGTAGAATTTTCCAGGTCACGATTTGGGGGAATAGTTGGACAGAGGATTAGAACTAGTATTGGGGTAAGTGTGAGTGGTGCTCTGGCTGGGGAGGCTTGTCATGGCTTCCCAATCCTAGTGGCTCTTAGGAAATTAACCTGATTAATCAGAAGTCAGATGTGACAATTTGTGACCTCATTTTCTGACTCCAGAATCCATTTCCAGTTCTAGTGACATCGCCTTTGCTTCGTGCTTTGCTGGCACAGTGACCTGCTGTATGACAAGGTTATTGGGGATGGGGAGTGGATAGAAGCTCCAGTTATTGAAAATATTTGATCATTTCAAAAAACAGTGATCAACATGAATGCAGTCACAGGATTTTCGGACAGACCTTTCTTTTAGCCCCCTTTGTTTGGTCCTCAATCTGGAATACCTGAAGCCTAGTTTCCTAGCCAGTTAACTTTCTGCATGGTCCATTTAGCCCATGGCAGCCGGTAGTCACAACACCATTTGCAGATCACAGTTTTATTATTCAATTTGATCTTAAAAACTGTAAGGGAAAAATTTTAGTAACAGAATTTTTATCTGGGCTCAGAGTTTGTAGAAAGTCAACACAATTCTTGCCCATCTGACTCAAAGTTGTACAATTAATTTTAAATGAACCTAGATAGATCTAATAAATTTACTAAGCAGATGCCTATTAAAATTAAGAATGTTCTTAAGGTTTTCATGAATTTTGTGGGCTGAGGAAGAGTAGAATTAGCGGTTTATAGCAATGGTGTATTTTACAAAGGCCGTTTCTCTTCAGGCTGAAAGAATAGTGGAAGGTTAAGATAATTAGATGGAAAATTCAGGGATAATAAGCTTATCCTTTTGAAGTAAATGTTTTTGTTTAGAATTCTCACATAGACAGTCTTCCTCTTATCTAACTTTCTGGATAGCTGCTTAAGTCTAAGTCAGATGAAGCCTATATAAGCTCAGTCACAAGGAGGAAAATCAACAAATGTGTGTGGATGCCTATAAATATGCTATATGTGGGTAGCACTTTTCAAAGTTTTAAAAATTACTTAAAGAACCTCTTTATTTGCAGCCTCCCAACTAGTTAAGATTTTGAAACTCACTGGAAAGTTCCGGTTTGTTTTTATTCTCCAGGGCTATTGGTAGTCTGTATTGCTGTGGTCTTAGCAGGGAGACCCAGCCCATGTTCTGCAGGATGGGAAATGACAATGTGATTGACTTGGGATCTCTCCACAAAGTGGTCATTTCAACAAGAAAATATATTGTCTACATGTTTACAAAGGTTAGAGCCCAAAGTTGTTAGGAATGGAAAAATACATCAAAAATTCAACTGAAGAAAATTGTAGTGTTCATGTGGACTAGCCAAGATTAACCAGTACTGCCAGAATACTTTCACCCATTAATGTACTTGTTAACAACTTGGTGATATGATGATAGAAAGACACAGAGAACAGCTATTTTTCCTGTCATTGAGCCTTACTTTAAACCTGGAGATATTTAAATAACCCTTCTCAGCCATGATCCTGGCTATGTGTAAGGGTTAAAAGACGGCATTGCATAATAGATCTTTTTGCAGGCATTGCTCTTCCTGCCAGCTTCTAGGGTCGAGAAGTTTGCATCTAACCCATGAAATCTTAAGATGGAAAAAATTAAAATTGGGAGACTTAAGAAAATAGCAGGACTTTGTCTCCTTAGCTTGTAGGACTTTTGTACAAAGATAAATGCAATTGTGGAAAGATAGAGACTCATTTGTCATGTCAAGAAAAATTCATCTTTAAAAGTAAACATATATTCCCAAAGATTTCTAAAGGAATGAGAATCAGCCTTTTGAGTCTCCATTCTTCTTCCATTACATGCTGCAAACTCTCTGGGGTAATATGCTTCCCCGTAATACTATAATACTGCTCTTGAGCCCTTGGTAAATGTTGCCACTTCCTCTTCCCCATATACTTTCTCATGTGAAATCTAACAGCTGACTGGTGTCTGGTTTATGTTTTAGTTACTCTTGTAACTGATTTCTCCCCTTTCAGTTATACTGAACGGGAGCCAGGAGAAGCAAATAAGGGCACCAGAGAGCTTCTTCCCTTTGGGTTCAGGTTCTCCAGACTAGGAAGAACTGGAAAATAAGTGAATGAATACACTGTTGCTTTTAACCTGTCTTTAAATATATGTTTATGTCTCTTGGTAATGGATCACCCTTGTGAACAAGTAATCATTTAAAGTTTAATTTTAATCTACACATCAAAGATGGAGATGCAGACTTGCTCAGGCTTTTCTCTCAACCTCTCTCCCGCTTTGATTTTCAAGATAAAGCAAATTAATTAATGTGCACTTCTCAATTGAAGAAATGATTAAGACCCAGCTGTGTCTGTGAAATTATAAGTTGCGATGCAACACTTGGGACTTGTTAATGCTTTTTTGGCATGAAGAAGAGAGGCATGGGTATCTAATATTAAGAGGTATTCTAGAAAGCATAAGTTAGCAGTTTGTTTGCCAAATTAACTTTCAAAGACATCTAAGTTACTAAATTTGACTTTTCTACACACAAATCTTAAATGATTGATGGACTACTATAAAATAGCTTTGTTCAAAAAAGATAATCTTTGGCAGGCTACTTCAAAGGCTTTATTACTCTGGAAAGATGAAAAGATTAGCCCTATTTTACATTAATTTCCCTGATAGATCAACACTTACTTGAAATATGCCTGAGAATTATGCAGTATTTACTGTGTGATGAGTCTTCTTTTACTGTATCCAGCAGCCCCACATGGGATTGTTTTTACTTTTAAGATTTAGGAGAATTTTTCTACACATAAAGAGCATCTTTAAGAAAATACAGATGGGTAGAACAGTACATCTGGCATTTTCATTCACTACTGTTTCATTGCATAGTATTTGAGACTCAAATATACAGAGATATGATTTTTTTAATCAACAATACCATTTCAGGATGTGGTTTCAGATTCTCCCTTTAGTATTCTTCATAGAACCTGAAAGGATCCATTTATTTCCTTTTAAACCTAGATCATGTGATTTTCTTTATGTCCAAGGCCACTATAGAATTATGTAAATTGGGGGCAAAAATCTCAACTGAGGGATCAAGGTAATGGAAAGCAGGGAACAAAGCCAGTCGTAGGTGTGTGCATGTGTGAGAGTGTGTGTGTGTGTGTGTGTGTGTGTGTGTGTGTGTTTGTGTGTTGGGGTTGAGACCGTGGTGCCTGAAGGGAATTGTCATTTAGGTCAATATGTCAGATATTCTGATTTTTATAAAGAAGTTTAAAAACCTCCTAATTTTTCAATATTGACAACTACTTCAAATTTTTTAAAGATCCTGTGCTGGCCAAATAAAGCATGTCTGGGGGATACCATGCTACTGTAAACCTGCTGAGAAGAAGAAAAGTATTTACCTTAAAAAAAGAAATGCTATCTCAGTTTCTCCCTTTTTTGGAATGCAGTTTCATAGTTCTGAAGGAGCTCCCTATAATGGCCTAAAGCTGGCTCAGGACCCAGGAACTCAGGCTCTGTGTCATGGGTTTGGAGAAACTTTGCACAACGGTTCGGCTGCATGGGGAAGGAGGGAGTAGTGACAATGGATACAGGGTCCTTATGTAAAACATAATAATCAGTGAATTCACAATGGGAAAGATATGAAGCAGAGGCCCTTTTTCTCTTAAATTTATCTTCAGGGCCATTTCATTTTATGGTGTTGAATAAAGCTGACTTGCAAAAACAAAAACAAAAATTCCTTCTTTGCTCTTTGGCAGGGTGAAGTAGAGAAATAAAGTCTGCCCGCTGAACTACTATGAGGTCAGAAGCCTTGCTGCTATATTTCACACTGCTACACTTTGCTGGGGCTGGTTTCCCAGAAGATTCTGAGCCAATCAGTATTTCGCATGGCAACTGTAAGTATCCACGATCTTACTCTCACTCTCTCCCTCTGCAAGCACTTTAGCCTGCATCAGCCAGCAAAACACAACAGTTAAAAACTTAGTAAAATAGGAGACTTGTTAGTCACTTTACTTGTGTAGATGGCAAAGGTGCATAATTCATGTCTAGTCAAATTGGTGGAATGACTGTTCTGTAAGTCTGTTAACGAGGTGTTGTGGGGACACGTGTGAAGGTTTGAAACATTCCTCAATACCGCCAGTGAAGCCTCAGTTTTTACAAGGAGGCCATGCTCATGCCGGAAAAGCAGCTATGCGAGAATATCACTATCATTTGAGTATTGCCAGTATTGTACATTTTCACATGTAGCTAATACATGGGCATTGTTACAAGACAAGAACAGAAAATAATGAGACTGTTTTGGAGTCCCTAAAGTTAGGGGCAAAAATTAACATTTTTTTAACTTACAAGTTATATCCTTGCTAGACTTGGGTAGAGGGACTTTGAATTCACAGAGGACCCTTTTTAACTGTTTATAACTTCTTTTTGGTCTCTGCTTCGTTGTCGAGGGTAGAAGGCAACATGATTTGAGAAGTCAGTTGACTCTTCCAAGTAGGAAAGCCCTACCTGTGTGTGGGATGGGACAGCCAATTTGCTAGTTTTTTTTCTTCTCTCCAAAAGATAAAGTATCTTAAGACAGTAAAGGTGAAAGAGAGCATTTTACCCAAATATCTATTTTCCTAGTCATTATCCCAAAATAAACATTGAACGAACCATAAAACAGACGTTTAACATTAATATGGGCTACAAGGGAGATCCATCAATGCCCAACTTTCTGCTGGATGGTCTAGGTTGAAAAAGCAATAATTTTACATAAAGGTGAGGTGGCAACACTGGACATACAAAGCAATGAGAGAACAAAAGTCAGGGCACGATTAAGGACCAAATTGTGTCATTCAAGATCATTGTTCATGAAGTGGCAGAGTCCACCTGACTCAAGGTTAAACATTCCTTATTAAGAATTAACCAAACCTCAATAAGAATTTATTTATCTCCATTTGAGATAGGTAATCTATCTGTGGTGCCCCTGTACAGAAGAGACCCCAGCCCAAATGTGCTGCTGAAAATCATACTTCAGTGGACACTCAAATTCTTGATAGTAGAGACATGAATTGTTTTAGCAAGCTCCTTGATAAATGGGTAAATGAAATGTCAGAAGAATGGAGGGGAAAGCACAAGATAATCCCATACTAAACTTGATTGCAAGTCAAATATATCAAGGCTTTCTAATAAGACGCCCACTGTGAGTAAAGCTCAGATACTACAGGGGTTTAAAGTGCAGGGGTCTCAGCATAAACCTGTGAATGGTTTTCAAGTCTTATTTACACACACATACACACACACACCCCCCAGTGGAAAACAACTTCCTTTTATATGTGACTCATCTTTCTTCCCTCCTTAGTTTCTTTGGAGGATTGCCAGTGCTCAGGAGATTGTAGGTTTAAAGGGAGGGAGATTTTTGAGATGTAGGTATTTCCAAAGGTCTGATATTATTACAAATTACCTGCTCTCGGCTAAAGAGAGCTGTAGGAAGGAGAAATATGCTCATTGACTCCCCAAGTCAGGGAAAATTCCAGATCACCCCACTGGCTACACTCAGTTTGACCCTGTCCTGTCAAAGCCCCCATTTCTGTGAGATTAGCCAATTGCTTAACTCTAGAGTGAACTTCCCACAGTTCCTAGAATGCCAACCAACCTAGCGGGGCTGCCTTCAATAGTAGATTATTCCAACTGGACGCCTGTGGAGACTGTATTTTTCTTCTGGCTCCTGGACGAGGGCTTTCGCCTCCAGACCACATTGCCTTTGTGGTGATTGATGGGAAGGCTGCTTTGAAATAGTTTTGTCCGGAGACAAGATCTTTGGCAGACTGCCCCTCAGGCTTAGCACTCTAAAGAAGATGAAAAGAAAACTGTGGAAGAAAAGAGCACCTTCATGTAAAGAGTTCACTTGCAAGTTTAACCCCCAGAAAGAGGGACAAGTCAGAAATTGTGACACTTAGAAATAGAGGTCCAAGCTTATTATCATCTGGAAACAAAACTGTAACTTGATCATCCTTAAAGAGCACTCTTCTACCATAGTATTTCCTAAAATAACAGGAGTATTGGAGATGGAAAATGGTGGCATGGTGTGACTTAAGTATGGTTTTGTTCTCTGGCTGCCCTCCTCTCCCTGCCCTGTCAATTCTTGGCTTGATTTCCTCTTCCCTCTCTTGCCCCCATCTCCTCTTTTCACAGATACAAAACAGTATCCGGTGTTTGTGGGCCACAAGCCAGGACGGAACACCACACAGAGGCACAAACTGGACATCCAGATGATTATGATCATGAATAGAACCCTCTACATTGCTGCTAGGTGAGTGGGCTTTTCCTCACATCTGCCTCCACACCATCTGCAGGTCCTAAGACCTAAATGTACCCACTATGCATCATTTTAAAGATCATTACATTCCCAAACAAAGTGTTATTTAATTTAAAGGCTACTTTAATTTGTCAAGCAATCATTCTTTCAAGATTTTCTGTCTGTTTAATTTTATGTGGATTTAGATAGAAATAATTGCATATTTTGGAGCTCAGACTCAAGTAATCCACTGTTTATCTTGAATATGTATGCAAATATTTACTCAAGCTCCCAGTACAGTGCTTCTCTCCTTGATACTTATTTGTTAAATTAAGTTGAATGGGTAAATATGCATTGCATAGTGTGTGTGTAGGTGTGTGTGTATTAAACGTGTTTGTAATTTTGCAATGAATATATAGTATAAATCATTTCTTTAACAGAATGGCAGTAGCACCCATTTTAGAATAGTTTTTGATTTGGATCTAGTAAGAAAATACTCATCCACTGGGGAACTGTCATTTAAACAGACCATGTCCTAAGGCTGAATGGCATGGTAAGAATGTTGCCTATACAGGGATCACCTGGATTTTGGCTTTTGTTTTAATTCTCCTCTTAATTTACCTGGACAACTTCTCTGGCCATGAGTGTCCTCTGTCAAATGAGAGGTTGGATTAGATTATCTTAATGAAGTATCTTGGGATTCTAACAATATATGAGCTCCCATTTTGAGGGCGTGTAGCTCATTCAAAATAATTCTAAATGAACAGCAGCAAGGAGGACTATCTTGTGGGGTTCCACTGTGTTCTTACCTGGGTCTAGATTGATTAATCATTTCACACTGGGAAGAAGAAATAGAGATTGTGTATGTGGTACTTGTCTGTCTGTGAGCATAGGTGAAGAACAGGTAAATAATGACAATGCTTGATTCTTTTAAACCACGTAGATGTTCTGAAATGGACAAGCTATGCAACAAAGTAAAGAACCATTGGCTAGATCAAAATATCCTGCAAGATCAAAATATCCCATATTTGGGCACAGGGAGCAATGCCAAAACACTTAAAAAATTTTACTTCACAAGTACTGACGTACTACATACTAGTTGTATGTGCTATATAAATTGCAGTTAGAGTTGTAAGTTCTTTATAAATGTTAATTCATTCAATCCTGAAAAAAACCCTATGAGAAGGAGTTATTATTATCCCCATGTCTTATAAGAGGAAACCAAGGTACAGAAAGGTGAAATGACTGGGTCAAAATGACAGAGGTAGGATTTGAACCAGGACGGTCTTCTTGTTCTAGGGTCTGGGCCCTTGTTCCCTGTACTGTGCAGCCCACTGAGCAACAGAGGTAGTACTATTTGTCCTGACAACAACCTTCTAATAGCCTTAGACCAAGGACATAGCCATTGTGGGTATTCATGAAAAAGCATTCCACTGAGGTCCTCAGTAGCCACCTCTCTGGTAGAATATCAGCTCCTTCTTTTTTAAAGATTGGCACCTGAGCTAACAACCGTTGCCAATCTTCTTTTTTTCCCCCCTGCTTTTTTTCCTCCCCAAGTCCCCCCAGTAAATAGTTGCATATTTTAGTTGTGGGTCCTTCTAGTTGTGGCATGTGGGACACTGACTCAACATGGCCTAATGAGCAGTGCCATGTCCGTGCCCAGGATCCGAACCCTGGGCCACCGAAGCAGAACACATGAACTTAACCACTCGGCCACAGGGCCGGCCCCTCAGCTCCTTCTTAAATATCATTTTTAGTTTCCTAAATGTAGCAGGGTTGGAAGACTAGATTTGTACCTAATTATCTAAAGGCTAGTCAAAACAAATGATTAAACATTGCATCTGTGAGAAATAGGTTGCCTCAAGAATCTTCCATGAATTGTTCACTTTGCAGTTGAGTCTCTAGGGGAAAAAATGGTATAATGGACTGTAGCATGGGTCTGGACTGCAAGTCCAGGGCAGCACCTGAGCGAGGAGCAAGGTGCTATGCAAACTTAAAAGTGACCGTTATTCCAAAACAAAGACAGTTTTATCCTAACCCTCACCCCAAAAAAGGAGAAAGAAGAAATGGAAGGAAAAAAAGGAGAAACACATTCATTTTTTAGAACTGTAAAACAGAGTTGCCTTTCATTAACACCCTAATATTGACATATTGGTTTTTACTCTATATGAAGCCACTTCCCTTCAATATACACCCTTAAGAAAATTCCTAAAGGAGTTCTGTGGCCACCATGTTTAGGATCTCCCCTCTCCCTTTGCTTTCACATCTCTCAACATTGCCCTGAGAGATCCAGGCTCCTAGGCAGCAAGTAACACGATTTGTAGTTAAATCCTTCCCCCAGTCTTGAGCCATGGCAACACAATTCAGTGGTGCTCACTGGAGGGGTGAAGAGGAAGTCCTGGATTAAGTCGGTTTGTGTTCAAATAACTTAATTCAGTAAGAGCAGTGTATGAATCCTAGGATGCACACACCGGTGGTTGGGAATAACCCCCGACCCTGGTCTGTGGTTGAGCATAAAGTGCTATTTCTGTTCTCTGGGCAGTGTGATCTCCTGGATGTTGAAAAAGATTGCCATTCTCCAAAAGGAGATTTCATTCATGGAATTCTATTTTTAAAAGGCTTCCCCATTCTGCTAGACAATTGGTGTCAGAAATCGGAAGCCAGTCCCATCCAGAACCCAGGGATTGAGTCAAGCTTGACGGCAAGAACCACTTTCAATTCTGCTTTATTATTATCCATTTTGTAAATTCTTTCTTTCTTTCTTTTTTTTAATCCCCCAACTGCTAATTAACATAAACAGGCCATGCCAGAAGGGGGCAATCCTAGAGCTTTCTGAGGAATTGCCAATGCATATTAATCAGTTGTTAATTTACAATTCATATATTCGGTCCTACTCAAAGTTTTAAGGGGAGGCAGGGCAAGGAAAAGCCTAGAGCCATCTCAAACCTGATACCAAAGTAAGAGGCAATTCCATTCCAATAATGAGCTGACCCACAGAACCACCAATAAAGTCAACCAAGTAATAAACGCATGCAATAAAACTGCCTTGAAATTAAAGGGCAGTGTGATTCTGGCACCCTACTGATGTTTGAAGAACTTCCCAATTCAGTAACTTACAAAACAGGCTCCCCATTCTCCCCCTCACACCCCCCCCCCACACACACACACACGCGCACACACACACACACACACACCCCACACTCACAGTTCAGTAGCAGGCAGAGGAATTTTATAAGCCAACCGCCTTGCCCTCTCCTTTTATTTTCACATGAGAGAGCCTGTTTTTATTTCTATTTTCTCTGTTGTACTTTCCCTAAAAGCAGTAGCAAACAGATTTCCGAAGAACTGAGAAAAAAAAATTCAAGTGAATCCTGACAGCAGATAATTCCTTTCTTTCTTTCCTTTTTTCTTTCTCCCCACCCCCCTTTCTTTTAAGTAATGAGGGGGCTTGAAAGTGCCTGGGAGCCTTGAGGTCGGGGTTTAAAGCTGTGGGTAATTTTCCAGCCCCAGGATTTCCTGCATTTTAGAAAAAGTCAATGTTATTTCAAGGGAAAATGAGCTGTTTTGCTTTCCGTCACTAGCCCCCCATCTCCCCGGTTGAGTGTAGTTCTTTTCTTTCTTCTGAATTCTAGACAAAAACGCCCTTGTTCTCAGCTCACACAGAAGGGGATGTTTAAATATAGCCCCACACCTGAGCTGCTGATTCTATTTCTCTCCTTCCAAGGGGAGATTGGCAGCAAATCTTAAAGACAACCAAATTCTCAGCAAAACAGGAAGGTGAACAGAAGCAAGAAACGTAAACTTTAGCTCAAGTACATTTTAGACCTTAATTGACCATCATTGTGTGAAGAAAAGAGTGGCTTCTGGAAATAATTTTACCTTTATCGTCTTCCATCTTGTCAATCAAATCATCAAAGCTACGACTGAAAATATGTTTTCTACAGAGAGATGGAGATGGAGAGTAGCTTTCTGTTAGGCCCCTAGATGAACAAACGTGGCATGTTGAATACTAAGTGTTTGGTACATGGATTTCAAAATACTGAAAGGGCATGTGAAGCCATCTGTGTTCCAGTTTGGGGGCCAATTTCACTTTCAGAGTCCTCCCTCCTGAACTACATATATACAGACATTATAGCTCTGGTATGAGAGAGACTACAGGAAAGTTCTCCTAAAAGGTATCTCTCACAGCAAGATGCCACAATTTGTCAGAAGGTGCCAAATGTGATCCTGAGGCATCTCTTGCAGGCTGAACTCTTCCCTTTTTCTTGGATGTAGATGTCTTATTTTTTAATAACATGGGTGTGGATTTATCTGCCTTGAATGAAATATGTACTCATTCAGGAAAAAAATGAACTCTCTTGATTCTTGCATTTGACATTGTATTAATTTTTTTGTTCCTAGGGACCATATTTATACTGTTGATATAGACACCTCACACACAGAAGAAATTTATTGTAGCAAAGTAAGTAGTTTAAAACCATCTTTCTGAAATGAAAGACCTTAGGATCATTTTGAAGAGAATATGTATTTTAAATGCATCAATTAAGATGAAATAACTAATAATAATTTGAACACTTTGTGAAATCCTAATTTGGTGGTAAGTTAGGGCTTAATATATATTTAGAAACAGTTATGTATTTCATAGTTTATTCATTGAATATGTGTGGGTAAACACTTTGGAGTTTTAGGCAATTCTTAAATTCCTTTAATAAAATATTGCTGTGTTTGGAAAATATCAGTTTTCGTATGTAAAATTTTGTCCCGCAAATGTTTCAATGTTATGTTTCCATGTCTTGCAGTGTTAGTTTGATTTGAGTGTTGTGGTTCAGGAATTTGATCATTATCCATTTCAGACGGACATAAAATATAACCTAAGCTTCCGTTATAACCCCACATGGAGGTATTTTAGTTAATAAAATCTGCCATAGAACTAGACGAGCCCTTCAGTCCATGAATTTACGTGAGGGAGTGTAACCTGAATTAAATCTTTGTCCACCTAAAGTGAATGTCCCCTTTATGCTTAGGAAAATGACTTCCATATTTTAAGGAAAAAGCCTGTTATATGAAAATTGATTTATCAACTGAAAGGAAAGGGCAAGGACATGTATTTTGTCCAAATCAGCATAATTTAGCAAGTTAACTTGGATATTTTATTTCCCCACTTTTGTTTATTCTTCTTTCTTTTCTCTTTTATCTTTATCTCGAAGAGAAGATCATTTTGTAGTTTAATGAATAGATAGGAGTCCAAAATTAAATGAACATTTCCATCTCTAATCTTTTGTTGTTATGGTGAATTAATCATGGAGGAGGGTGCGGAAAGCTTTCACTGAATATACGTTCAGCCTCTAGTCTCCCCAAGGGAACTCTTACTTCTAAAATCAAATGCAACAATCTCTGGGCTCTAATTGATTTCTTTCTTGATCCCTGCAGAAACTGACATGGAAATCTAGACAGGCTGACGTAGACACATGCAGAATGAAGGGAAAACATAAGGTAGGCAATTTTCATTTCTCCTGCAGCTGCCACTTTGGGTTAAGTTTTTGACTGTTATCTCCAGCCGTAGACCATGAGGCGGAATGGATCATGCTAGTCCCTTTTCCCCCAGTAATTGCTTTTTCCATCAACTTATTGAAGGCTTTAATTTGCACAAATAGTTTGCTTTTAATGTGATGAAACATTATAACAGCTGCTAGGGCTGCATCATGAACCACTTAGGGGCACTAGGGATTGTGGACATAAAGCTGGCTGCCCCCCTACTCTTTGGAGCGTACTCTCCAGTAGCCCACCTCGTAGGCCACAGCCCGCAGGGAGTCTGCAGGAGAGCTCAGAAAAGGCTGCCACAGACGTCCAGGGGTTTGTGCCCCTGGTCAGAGAACAACATAAAAACACATTTCAGCCAGGAGCCTTGTACATCACAGGATCCTGGAGCATCTACCATTAAAATTAATATAATGGGAGGTTGGCAATTCCTGGTTTGCCTTCCTTTGGTGACAGAAACACACACTTTTCCACTCTATGCCGTTTTTATTTCCTGTTGAAAAGGAATTGTTGTTGTCAGCATCATCTTTTGGTAAACATCAGGAAGAGCTGGAACTTTTGACGGGGGAACTCGTCAGAGCCGCCTTCACGTTAACCTTACTGTCGGCAGATCATGGTACACGGTGAAGAATGGGTTTCTGTACTGAATGGACTGGATACACAAAAGTTTGAATTATTTTTCAGGATGAGTGTCACAACTTTATTAAAGTCCTTCTAAAGAAAAACGATGATACTTTGTTTGTCTGTGGAACGAACGCTTTCAACCCTTCCTGCAGAAACTATAAGGTAAATGCTATTTTGTCTGTTGGAACCACACGGCCCAGGGGTATTTCATAATTTACTGTGATTATACCTGCAGCAACCTAAGAGGGGTAATTCAACACCACCTGGGTTCTTCTCACTTGTTCGACTTAGTGTATTGCTCCACGTGAGTGATCCTGAGCAGGCTTCTAAGCTTCCTGTTTGTTCAGGGTTGATTGACACGTCTTTAAAGAGCCTATGCAGCAAAGTTCGTTTCTGTAAGCCCCATTCTTTATTGTTCAGAACATCAACACACTCACCACATATACCATGTGCATTTCCTCTCTCTCTCTTTCCCTTTCTCCCTCCCACCCTACCATCTCCTCTCTGAGCACAAAAACACACATATTTTGAGTGAGTCCTAGTTTAAAAGGTACCTCAAAAGCATGCCATTGGAAACTGTAGACTTCCCTCTAGGTAAGGTTTTCAAGAACACAGGAATTTAATTCCATTTAGCACTCAGCTTACTTGACCATGGCCTTCCTTAGCTCAGCCTTTATGCAAGGGGAAAAATATGAACTCTGAAAGTGTTAATAAATCTAGTTAGTTCCGATGCCGCTGACGGAGGTGCTACTGAAGAAGCAGGAGCTACCAGCTTCAGCAGCAGAGGTGGCAGTGATCTAAAGGCTTGGCTCCACATCTGCTAGCTTTCCTTGCCCCTTCTTTCTGCCACAGTCTCTCATTCAGCCAACATGTATCCAGTTTCTCCCATGACCAGGCATTGAGGTTGTAAAGACAGAGAGAAAGACTCCATCCTTAGGGAAGCCACACAAGTAGAAGAAAACTACAATTCCAGGGGTTTGCTGCCATGGTGACATAATGCAGAGCATTGTGGAAGCACAACAGAAAAGTACTTACCCTAGCCTGAGATAGAGTCAGGGAAAGCTTCCAGAAGGAGGTAGATGACCGCTCTCTTCAAACGTTCCCCCGTGCTGTTCTCACATGTGGAACATGAACAGCCCCAGCCCAGAAGAAACCCTTAAGCTCTGTGAGTATGGGAACCACATCCATGATGGTCCAGAGCCTGATAATGCCTCCATATAGGTGCTCAACTAATTTTTATGGAGCAAATAATGAATGAGATAATGCCTAACTTTTGTCTTAAAGAAGAAGTAGAAGTTAGCCAAAGGAAGGGAGAAGGGCATTCCAGGTAGAGGGAACAGCCTGGAACAAAGGCATGGAGTAAGAAACAGTCTGTTGAGCTTGAGAAACTTCTGGTGCTGAGGTGCTGGACTGTGAAGTAACAAGTGATAACGAAAAAGGGGCTGGAGAGGTAGGTGGCCCCAGGGATGAAAGGAAGAGAAGAGATTCAGGAAATACTTAAGTGAGAAAAACCAGTAGGATTTAATAATTGATAAGAAGCACAAGATAAGGAGATAGAGGAGTTAAGAATGACTGTGAGGCTATCTCTTGGGTGAGTGGATGGATGGGGCTGCCACCAGCTTAGACAGGGGACAAAGGAAGAGCAGTGGGGGTGAGGGGGTAGTGAGAAGACGGGGGTTATGAGTTTGCCTAGCTCTGTGGATGACAATGCCTATGAGACATGAATAGAGATATCTAACAAGAAGAGGGATGGGTAAGCCTTGATTCAGGGACAGACTTGGGGAGAAATACAGCATAAAGTGAACCTCTAGGTGTGTGAAGAATGAGAAAAGAAATGATGGGCTGATAACAGAAGCAGAGGGCTTGCCAGCCTTTGGTTTGACAGTTTTAAAAGACCCTGTGCCTTGGCAAAGATGGAATGGACGGTCCATTCGCACTCACACTCATCTCCCATCTTGTTTTTGGAAATGGGCACCAACAGGGCGAGTATCAGGGTGAGGCAAGTGAGGCATAGCCCCCTCAGGTGCTCAATGTAAGGGGGCACCAAAAAAACGCAGTAATCAAGAGAAATGACATTTTTAATGCCACATTCTTAAAAATCTAAATTAATTCAAAAATATTATCATAACATATCAAAATTTTAAATAAGGACAGGATCCATTCAGTTTATAATAGAGGCAGCCAGTTCAGACAAACATTTCCTCTAGCCAATAACAGCGAACAGCTGAAGTTTCAACTTTAATTCAACCACTTAATATTCCATCCCTGTTTGTCATTGTTTAGGACTCATTAAGATTAATGCTTCTAACAAATCCCAACGAATTCCCTAGCTGGAGAGCTATCTTTTATGACAAATTGCAGGTTTTCTTGGCACTGTGATACACAGACCTCCAGTGGTCTAGCTCATTCTTCCCGCACATGTTCTGTTCCCAGGATGCCTCACCTTTAGTCATACCCTCACCTCTCACTTGTTCTAGCCACACCTGCTGAGACATGTTGCAGGAGCCGGGGCCTCTCGGAAGCCACACATGGGATGTTCTTCCCACGCAGTCCTGTCTGTATGCCTAGCACTGTGAACAGTAGTGAGAACCCTTGGCTCAGAAAAGTGTTCTTTTAGACTCGGGGCACAGCGGGACTTTGCTGATGACACAGGACATAATGTATTTGGCTGCAGGAAGAATGGACAGCCGCTCTCTTAAGTGCTTTTTATCAACAGATCAGGACCAAAAGTTCAGAGCAAAAACAATGACCAGTTCCACTGAAAAACGCAAGTCTCATAGCACAGAAGCATCAAATTGATTAGATTAACTTAAGGCAGGAAGGTGACAAATTTTGGGTTTCTGCCTCTGCACCATGCCCTGATTTATACAATTTTTATAACAGAAGTTGGCTGAATGTATTAGAAGGACTATAGCCTCAAATAAGATTATCTAGGGAAGAATTCTGAAGGCTACTCACTACAAATCTAAAACTACACCCCATACCTTTTCCCTCCTGTTCTCTAAACCTCTTGAACTTCTGCAAAAGTCATGCTGGTTCTTAGCATAATTATTTGTACCCGCTGGTGATTTAATTTCCCAGGGGCTGCTGTTAAGTCTGAGATTTGATGACTACTACAAGGATTAGTTCTTACTTCATGGAAAGAGGATTTCACTGTGGCATTGTTTTGTCTCTGGACCTTTCCAAACTCACAAACCAGTACATTAATTCTTCACTGCTTCTTGCCTTTGACTAGCTATAGCTATGGCCACTTTTTTTTAGAAGTAGGTACATTTAAAAAAATATATCTGCCTTGTATATTGTTTCCCCATTGCCAGGATTACAGCATGCACTTCTTGGGATAAGGGCATTTCTGTTGCATCATAGTGTACTAAGCATCACTTTTGAATACATGCCAGACCCGCAGACCACAAAGTCTGTCACAGTTTAACAGGAAGCACTTGTTGGGATAAAATATCAGGAAAAGACTTTCATAAAAATGTGCTGGGGGAAAGAGTACATTTGGTTTAAAAGATGTCTGACTGAGCATCTTTCCCCTAAAAATAGGTTTTTAACACAACTGCTTTATGTGAGTCTCAACTATAGTTTAAGCAAATAGGATGGCTTCAATAGGGGCTATCTCAAAATGGTTACCATAGAAAAGGCCTGTCATATCCCCGAAATGGTTTCTGGGAGTTTAGGGCAAAAGGCACAATCGATTGGACAACACTAATGGCTGCTCAGTGAGAACCTTACTCTTTCCTCCCGAGCAACAACTCAAAGCACTTTGATCTAAGGCACCTTGATTTAGTGCTAAAGGCCTTTTTTTGGATCCTTCCTCAGCACCAGTGCTGTCCTAGGTTTATCTTCTTTCAGTTTTCATATTTGTGGTCAAACAATGCACCTGCCAGATGATAAGCAAAATATCCTAAAACTATAAAGAAGATTGAAGCACAGTGGGGTGTAAAAACATTAATGATGTGGAGGAGATCATTTTATGGATTCCGTGGTGCTGAGATTTAAATGCTAGGAAGATCCTATGGTGTATGGAAGGAAGAACACAAGGTAGAAAGCAGGAAACACTGAATTATCGGTCAAGGTAGGCCAACTGCTTACTAATGTTAGTGGTTGACCAAAAGAGGGTCATTTCCTGCTTACATCACAGTCAAGTGTGGGTCAGTGAGAGAGGTTCTGTTCCAAAAGTTTATTCAGAAGGCCTAGCTCCATCCTGCTCATACCTCTGCCATCTCCTAGGGTCTTGAATTCTCCACTGGATCCTCTGTATTTAGGAGGAGAATGTGGAAAGAGAGCAAGAGTGGAGGACGCTGGAAGGTTTTTAGGGGCAAGACCTAGAGGTGGTGCATAGCCTTACACTCACATTCATTGGCCAGAGCTCAGTCATGTGATCACACCTGACTGCCAGGGAGGATGGGAAATGTAGTTTCATGTGATTTGGAGGGAAGGGAAATGGAATTTGGTGAATAGCCAGTAAGGCTTTGCTATACCCGCAAATGCCTATGGGACCAGACAGGTAGCTTATAGGAGCGAAACAAGCAGGATTGATACATTTTGTGGGTGAAGGGACCTTGGTGCTGGAGACCACATGTTTGTTTGAAGAAAATAGCAGGTGTGGCTATTACTCAGCTATAGTTTGTTGCTTCCACTTGGGTAAGAAGGGCCTGAATTGATTTTCCCACCTGTTCAAAAAAAGCAAGAAATCCAGGTTTTCATGTGCAATCTCCCTGTTTTAAAATATGGCCATTTCTTTCTTTCTTACATAGTAAGATGGCCAAACAAAGCTTGCTGGCAGATCGGTGATAACCTCTAGCATACAGCCTCTGGCATTCAGGAACAAGGCCTGGGTTGGGAACCAGGAGATAGAAGTCAAATAGCAGCCCGACTCCTCACTGCCCTTGACCTGCCTGAGCCCCTCAGCTTCTGGGCCTCTCTTTCTCATCCACACAATCTGAGGCTCTGACATCTTTCTGAAGCAGGTGCAGAAGGCCACCTGAGCTCTGCTTGCATCCATGTTTTTGCACCTTTGCTGATGCCATACTATCCTGCCAGGTAACCTGAGGAAGAATTCCAGTGTCTTCTCCTGGGATTTAACCCACAAAGGGAGGACTCCTCAGGCAAAACAAAGTAAAAAACTGAAGTCATTCTCTGTAGAGTTCATGATTCAACAGATAATTTGGGGGGAGTGGAGAAGGGAGGGGAATAAATTTTCCTGGGGATTGTCTCAAAAATTGCTTTTCCAAGAAGATGCTTATTTCTAGAACATTCTAGAAGGATATGGGAATCTATTTATTGTCATGGTTAAGAGTCAAGTGGACATAACTGAATTTCAGACTCTCTTAGCTATAGAACCTCAGTCAAGTGACTTAACCTCCCTAAACCTCAGTTTCCTCATCTGAAACCAATAGACTTATCTCAGAGGATATTTGAGGATTATTTGCACCATGCATATCAATTACTTAGCACATTAAGTGCTTTGTAAATATTAATTGCTATTACTACTGTTGGTTGTTCCTAATAAGCCAAATTATTTCATTTAGATGGATACTTTGGAACCTTTTGGGGATGAATTTAGTGGAATGGCCAGATGCCCTTATGATGCCAAACATGCCAACGTTGCACTGTTTGCAGGTAAATGACCTGATTTCTTCTCATTGCATTTGCTTTCGCGTGTTCAGCCTGTTGCTGTGAATCTGCTCTGGAGGATTCGCAGTGTCAGAGTTGTGCTTTGATTCTCTGGTGAATACTGTAATTAAGAATGCCTTTTCCATTTGAAATTAGTATGGAAATTGTACTTTTGCTTCTTGAAAGAAGTCTTTGCTACACTTACCCATGCTTTTATGCCTTCAGAAAAGGATAACAGCTTTGCACTGAACATGTGACATATCAGTTAGGGCCTGTTTGGGTTCAAATAACAGAAAATCCCACCTCAAACCACTGACGTGGATTGATTTTTCAAGGTAGGGTAGACTTTGGGGTTGGTTTGATTCAACAACTCAATAATGTCATCCAGGACGCAGGTCCTTTTCCTTTGTCTGTTATCTTTCATTTCTTTCTCTGAGAGAGACTGGCTGTTCTCACAGCCATAGTATGGCTGCCAGCCCCAGTTAGGGCTACATCGGGGCTGTATGTCCACATGTAGAGGGGAGAAGGAAAGAGACAAAAGGAAGCTCTCTCAGAGCAGTGAGCGCCATATACCTGCAAGTTTCCAGCAAACATCTTCTCAAATATCACTGACCTGCTTAAGTTGTGTACCTGTCTCTGATGGAAAGATTGCAGTGGCTGAGGGGATGATGCCGACTAGCTTAGGCTGACCCATACTCCCCATCCTCACCCCTTCCTGCCACTGTAAAGGATGTAAAGCAGCAGCAAATAAGCCATCATTTTCAGATTGGGATTTTTGTGTATGAGTGCATGTGTGTTTTAATTAGGAATTTGTTTAAGAGTTCATTGCCAGCTGTGTATGTGGAGGTGGGTGTAGGGAGAAGTGTTAGTATAATAATGATTGTTAGAGCATGTAACAAAGCAGTTAGCTATAATTTCCATCACAACAGCTAAGAACTGGCTCATCCTAGCTAGAGGAGGAACTGTAGGGCTTTGATTATGAAATAAGATTAGCTCCTTGAACCTCATCCTCAGTGTCATCCACTTGTGGGCCTGAATCTGCAGTCACAGATTGTAGAATCGGCTTGTGCCAGGTTAAGAAGGAAAGGTTTCTTGGGTTCTCCCCCAAAGTTAGAGCGCAGTATTAGTGGGAAGCAACATTGTAAGAAACACAAAGTCTTGTAAACCTATTTATCAGCATGGGCAGGAACAAGGCCAGTAGAAAGAGATGCTTGAGTATATTTTCAAGTGCCTGGCTTCCATATAGCACCTCTCTGGCATTTAAACCTGCATTAGTCAGTACCATGGAGGATGTGGGCTGCAGGGGAGAATTTAAATTTAACTGTAAACTAAAGAGGGGATTTATTGTAGCCTGAGGTACAAAGGGGAGAATGGGCAGAGTATTTACTAAGGCCACCAACCTTCTAGGAACTATAAAGAGCAAGCTGCTTGAGCCCATACTATGACAGCCCCCTCCTCCTCCAACAGGTATATTTGGATAGGTGGTCATTCGAATATTTGAAACCTCATAAAAGCTCAGCCCTTATTAATAGAAGATCCTTGCTGCAGCTGAAGGGTTGTCATATTACCAAGAGTGGCAGACTACTGCTCCGTTTTACAAGTAAAAGTTCTGGTGAGATACCCAGTGTTGAATATCAAACAAAAAGAGTGCTGGAGAATGGTCAGGAGGAATAACCACACATACACGTACACACACATACACACACACACCACCCTCCCACTGCCCCGTGCTCCTCCTCAGGTATATCTGAATGACCTGGGGCTATGATTCTGTAATAAGAGTTTGACTTTTATAGATATGTGTTTGTCAGTAGGAAGGTTGCTGTCTGCTGTTCAAATCTAACTCAAACAGTCAACACTTTTAACACATGGCTGTTAATAATGCAAATAGCAAGACAGCTCTAAGTTGAACCTGGGCGAATTTCAGTTATTTTAAGACCAAAGGTAGACATCACAAACTCTGCTTAGGTATGTTTGGATAATCTTTTATATAAGTATAAACCATTATACTTATCCCACAAGTGGAAGAGCTTAAAGAGTACATATTAAAGAGCAGATTTATATTTAAAAGCTACTGAAAGAGTAGCTTAAATATTGTACATAAGCCACTTTGACATACAATTAATGAAGATATGTAATCCATTAAAAATGTACCAAGGAAATAATTTTTTATTTTGAATATAATTGTTTCTGTTTTTACCTACATAGATTTTTGCTACAAAGACCATTGCATTTGATTATTTGTGTGTAGCACATTTGTGAATCCAGGAAAAGAACCAAAAGTTTTAGGAATTAGTCTTCAGTCCTGTTCACTCTCTTTTCCTTTGGATGTACCCTCAAGCAAACCCTCCAAAAAGCATGAATTCATAAGAAAGCTCCAGTTTGAACTCAGTGTTATCCCTTGCCCCTTTTTTCTTTGCTTTGGCATCTTGTATGTCAGAACGTTTTCAGTTTATGACGTTGGAAATACTGACGTACGTCTCTCTCATTGAAACTAGACTGGCAGGGCTTAGTGCTGTCCTGGCCGAGGTAAAGAGGAGCAGAGACTCTCGGGTTAGAAGGAGCAGTTTCATCAGCTTTTTGCTTGTGATTCCCCACTTCTGCAACTCCCCTCACCTGTTCAGTCTGAGGACTCCATTCTTTCTGCTTGAACTTAAAATTTCTGGTGATACAATCAGCTTCTATCTTTCCCTGGATTCCCACCTAATCCAGTTTACCATGGTGTGGTGGCAGCAGCAGTGTCCAAGGGGCCTTGGCCTTGAGATTTCAGTCAAGGTCCATCTAATCAGCTGAAGCAAACAACATTTTTCATTTACCCTGTTCCCTGAGCTGCTGCTGCTTAGAAATTGCCGTGCAATTTAAAAATGAAAAATGTTTCATCTCTCATGATCCCAATTTAAAATGGTTAGGAATGTGGGCCAAGTATTTTCCCAGCGACTCTTGGATTTTTCCCAGTTGTCCTATCTCATTTGCCTGATGTAGGAAAGCAATCTGGGGGATGTCTCTATTATTCCTCCACGCCCACTCTTTTGCTCCCTCCCCATTGACCTCTCTTTTTCTTCTAAGATGGAAAACTATACTCGGCCACAGTGACTGACTTCCTTGCCATCGATGCAGTCATTTACCGGAGTCTGGGAGACAGCCCAACCCTACGGACCGTCAAGCATGATTCAAAATGGTTGAAAGGTGAACAAACAAAAGAAGAAAGGGGAGGTGGGGGGAGATACATATCACGAGGGAGATTTAGAGTCTGGATGGACCAGACTGTAGTTTCATTTTAGTAATGGCTTCTGACAGACCGGAAGGTGGAAATTGCATCTTTTGCCTCAAATGATTTATTTACCTCCCTTTTTCACTTCCCGTGAGTTTCTGGAGTATTAACAAAACTACCAATGCCACTACAATAGACCACTTACATTCATCTTTCTCTGCCTCAAATTCTCATTTCAGAGTCCCACATGAAAAGAACTGAACATTTCATTCATGGAGGAGAACAGGGGATTGGAGGTGGTGGGGAACAGGAAAAAAGCTATTCATAACCCTGTATGAGGCAGGGTTGACAAGGAGATGTGTACAAAATCCTTTCTGTAATATGGGCACTCCATTGTGGAGAATAAAATTACAGAGATATGCAAAACTCATTTATCCTTCATTGTTTATCGCAACTGCTTCTGAAAGATATAATTTGTAGGCTCAAGTGCTTTCTGAAATCACCAGCACTTGCATGTGTGAAGCCATTAGAAATGGTTAGTGTTCACCAAATGTCTAATGGCCCTACACTTTTAATTAATAACATGTCTTTGGTTGCAATGTATTGAAGTTCTTTTAACTCCGTGTGACACATCCCCAATTAAAATACCCATTTGTCCACAGAACCATACTTTGTCCAAGCAGTGGATTATGGAGACTATATCTACTTCTTCTTCAGGGAAATAGCGGTGGAGTACAACACCATGGGAAAGGTAAGAGGGGAGGATGTCTCCCTTTTGGACCAATGCTGTTACAAATGACATTGAAATAGGAACCATAAATCTAATGACGAGGTCATCATTTTCCAGCCAAAGGTTGGTGGAGGTGAAACACAGTGCTGCCTCGAAGCCCTGTCTGCTTTTTCAGAACAGTAGTGGATTACAGGGAACCTCTTAAATACTTCTATTGAAAATTTAATCAACAGATGTTTGGTTGATTTCGTACTGAGTTTCAAGTATCTTGAGATGTGGTTTCCAGGTATACTCATCCGTTTCTCTTTTTGATTGCATTGCCCCACAGAGAGAGAGGAAATATCCAGTATCTTTAAGCAAACTGAGAGTCTTGATTTTTGTCTTTAGTGAAAAAAGCAAAAGAACACTTAGGGGATGTCCATTTCAGTTATTTTTACCAGCGAGTAGATCAAGGTCACTAAGTTGGAGGGCACAAATTCAACGTCAGGGAGCTTGCACAGTTATAGGAATTCAGAGAATGAAATTCAAGGCCCAGAGGCAGCTAGCGAGAATGGCAGAGATGGTGCATACAAAGTGTGCTTTTGTTTGAGGAAATAAAAAGCTAAGCAGTCTGTATGGAAATGAGTTTATGTGGCTGGGAGCTGATCCCCTGAAGGATTTATGGCTCTGTATTAAATGCCACAGCCTTATCTTTTAAAACATGCTGTTCCAATGCTGAATTTTTCCCCCTATTTTTTTTTTTTTTTTGCTACTGATTTTAGAAACATGAGATTAAATTAAGCACCTTGTTGTTCTGTTTCTATTTTCAAAGAAAGGCAAATTCTACTAAGATCTCCTCGAAAAGTGAGTGCATTTCATTTTCTCTGTGTGTTCTTCTTCTGCAGGTAGTTTTCCCAAGAGTGGCTCAGGTTTGTAAGAATGACATGGGAGGGTCTCAAAGAGTCCTGGAGAAACAGTGGACATCTTTCCTCAAGGCTCGCCTGAACTGCTCAGTTCCCGGAGACTCTCATTTTTATTTCAACATACTCCAGGCTGTTACAGACGTGATTCATATTAATGGCCGTGACGTTGTCCTGGCAACCTTTTCCACACCTTATAACAGGTAACCATGCCCCGGCTATGTTGACCTAATCGGTCCTTCCTGGCTTCCTTTCCCCAAGGGGTTCTCGTCACAAGATTCGCAACTGGTGGAAAATTGCCACTAGCTACTTGTAGCTAGAAGCACTTAACACTCAGTTTTCATCAATAAATTAACAGTCATTTATAAGCATTATTAGATTAGGATTTTAGAGAAAGTAATTGATAAATTGTAACAATATCTTCTATTTATATGCCTGGCATATAAACACTATTCATGTTATTTCTCAATCCCTCCAGTAATCCTAGAAATTGAATACTGTTGCCCTCTTTTTACACTTGAGCAAAGTGAACTCAATTACACTACCTGGTCCAGGTAGTCAGTAGATGGAACAGGCAGCTTTGAAACTCAGGAATTTTAGTCCTTTCTTTTCTAGGTCATCTACCATTCTATTTGATTTTTAGTATTTCTATGACTGGATTGGTAACTTTTGAAGTAAAAATATTGGAAATTTATTTAAATGGTACACAGTGAAATTAGGATTCAGGTGAGTCCATCTTGCATCCCACCTCAGGGACCCTGGTTTTTATCCTGTCAGAGGAACCTGGATCCCAACCACAGCACCACTCTCTGGCTCTGGAAGGCTTGAATAGGGACTTAGAAGCCATCAAACAGTGTACCTAGAAATACTGATTGTCAGCCTATTCATCCTATTTTCTATTTATTTAAGCTAAGACTTTGAGCAATTAAGTGACACACTAATAATTGTTCCTGGAACAGTGGAAATGTGTGGAGATTAAAGAATAGAAGGCAGTCAGGCATTAGGTTCCCTGGTCCTCAGCTCTCCTAGACCTCAGAGTCCTAGCGCTGTTGTGTGAAAAATAATCAGAACTCTGGGCATGGTCATGAAATCTAAATACGTACATTATATTCTCATTTCTATCTAGAACTTTGGATGTTCTGTATTATCTTCCTCTAGGAATGTATTGTTTTGTTTTGTTTACAAATGCTTTTAAGAACGTGATGAGTACCTCGATGACAGGCACATACATCATGAGATTGGAGGACAGCACTAAGAAAAAAGTGCTTAAGAATTGGGCAGAGCCCAGAATAGAGCAAGCTGAAGGATGAAATAATGTTCCCCCATTATGTGGAGGGCAAGAGTCAAGAGTTCCCCACTGAAGATATATGAAAATATTAACCTATATTGCAGCAAGAAGTATTTGGTTAGATTTAAGTAACTGTAACCATCTGTAGGGGTTTTCAGACTTGAGAATAGAAAAGATATTACAATTCAGGCCTTGACTGTTCATACTTCAGAGCCCATCTATCTAGGATTGTTGAAAGAGAATTCTGTCTTGGTACATGGGAATGCAGGACTAGTGGAATTTCAGAGCACATTTCTAGTGTGTTTGCTTTCAAGGGGGTGAGTTACTTTGTGATTGATTATAATACGGTAGTAGATTCTTGCCTATTACAGGTACTCCGTTTGAAGTATTTTCTTAAAAGGCCCCTAGGAAACATCCAGTTATGCAATCTCAGAATCTATATTTTTTTAGTAAAATCAGAAAATGGTAAGAATATGCATACCCATTTTCATCTATAGTCCCTCCCTGGTTTTACTCCCTGATTGCATCCCTCTCCACCCCATCCTCCATACATGGTTAGGTCAGGTTATTTCAAACCCTTTAGGTGCTCCTCTTTACCCTGGGAGTGAAGCTCAAGCTCCTTGGAATGGCATGCAAGCCCCTTTATGGTCTGGCCCATCTACTCCTCCAGCCCCCAGGCTTACTGCAGCTGAGATCTGTTCTTTGAATGTGCCATGTTTGCTCATGCCCTGCTCTCTGTCAAGTCTTCCCATCCTACCAATATCTGTTTGCCCATTGAAACCCTAGGGATGCCCCAAGTCTCAGCTTGAATCACTTCCCATGAGTCCTTGTGCACACACCTCTTTAAATACTACTCTTACCAGACTGTCCTGGAGTAGCTCTTGTTGTTATTATTATCCTTGTTGCTGTTGTTGTTGCTATTTTCCTACACACTGAACTGTGAGTCAGCAGAGAGCAGGACTCTATGGTTTTTATTGCGCATTTACTGCTTGAAATTAGGGATTCCATAAATGTGTTGAATGAACAGAAGGTGGGAAGAAAGGAATGAAGGAAAGATGAAAGGAAGGAGGAAGGGAGTAAAGTAGGGAAGGAAGGAGAAAGGATTTCACAAGAGATTCTGACCTTGGGAAGATTATAAAATCCTAGGGTATCTTTAGTTATTATGACTTGCCTCATAAACTACTTCAATATTTATCCTATTTTTTCTTGAAATTTAAAGTAAATATATACACCTATTACTTTTAGGAAAGGAAAATGTAAAGTCTTACAAAATTAAATAAATAGTGCTAGGGTTCTCAAATTTCAAAACCAATGGGGATCACTGTCTTATATACTTAATTCTGTGAAATATATATATATATATATATATATATACTACACACTTTAAAATCCATCCTGCCACCTTGTTTTAAATAAGCTTTCTAATCCTCTCCATATTTCTTGCTTTATTAGTAATACTTCAATAATTGTGTTATGAAATTAAAGATGGCATAAAATTCTCCTAATCATTTGTGAAGTGATTTCCATATCCTTTCAACATTTGCCAAATCAAGACTCAGTCATGCTCTCTGCCCTGGATGATGTTCCCACACTACAAAGCACCCGCGTCTTGCCCTGGATGCTCCTGCTGTGCAATGGCCCACTCCTTCAACCCTGATTAAAACTCTTGGCCAGCTGGTGCTTGCAATTTATTTGATCAAAATCAAGGAACGACCATAGTCAAAAACAAACATGGGTTCAGCGTACTCAGATGAATGAATAATTCATACCTTCTCACCATTGATTAAAAAAAATCCCCAAGTCCTTCCAAGAGTGCCAGGCAAGGATGTAAATTATAGGTAGTGATTACTGTCATTATTATTATTTAGCACTTAATAGAGCACTTTATTTGCAAAGTGTCGGTGCTTTAGAGACTTAAATTGTTTAGTCTTATGCAAATAAACAGGAAGTAAAAATTGAAATGTACACAGACTAACATTAAATATGTGTGGGTTCCCCACACATACGTTCTCACTCTTCTCACTCCTGGAGTCCTTGGCTTGAGGAACCAAATTCAAAGAAGCAATATACAAACAGTAGGGGCACTTTTACTTCAAATTTTCACAATATTAGAGATGCATAATGTTTTCCAAAGATTTTATCTTTGTGTTATTGACTGATAATTAATATTATGGAATTCGTGAAACTTCTGAATCACCAGCTCAACCATTCTTTCTTTATAAATGGAAGTGGTTCCAGAAGTAATGAAGACATGAAGAGGCTTTTTCTCTTTGCCTTTTCTTTAAGCCCATTGATGCACATTGGATTCACAGAAACATTCTCTGTATCCACTAGACTCCCTTACATTTATAATTCAGGATATGAATCTTAAATTTCAATTGCCCATAATAGGAAAGTTTTTCTGGAGTATGTTTTCCAAGCTACATGCATAACTGTTGCGTGAGTAACATTGTGTGAAATGCCATGTTGCAGCATCCCTGGGTCTGCAGTTTGTGCCTATGACATGCTTGACATTGCCAATGTTTTTACTGGAAGATTCAAAGAACAGAAGTCTCCAGATTCCACCTGGACACCAGTTCCTGATGAACGAGTGCCTAAGCCCAGGTACATGCAAATATTTATATGGCTCTTCGGAACTTGTAGAAATGGTGCAGCTTGCTGCTCTGATAATGAACATCCTGTGAACTGCACACCAGTGTCTTCCAGGCTAGCCATGTAAATACAAATGCTGGAACAACAGAAAAGCCTGTGCAGTCATTTGCCTTCATGCACTTAACCAAAACTCAGCGTTCCCTATAGTTGTATTCAGTATATTCCAAACAATGGCTCGCCAGTCTTTGCTTACCTCTATATCTGTGGTTTGTCCAAGGTGATCCTAGGATGATAGGAAGCATCTGGTCCAGCCAGCCCAATGGTCTATAATTGAGTAAACTGAGGTTCAGAGAGTTACTGTGCAAACTCACACAGCTGGGTAGATTATTTCTACCACTCCTCCCTGCTTCCCTTCAATTTTACAGAGACCCATGTCTTTAAACCCTAATAAAATGTGAAATATAACTAGTGTTCTCTGGACTTTGTGACCAGGCTGGATTATAGCTGAGTCGAGGATTCCAGGCCATGGGCAAGAAGAGACCAGAGAGTACAATGGCCCCTTAGGATGTCTCTGGTCTGCCAGGTTCTGATCTGCTTTGGGTCCAGATGCAGTGCAGATTTCCCACTCCTCAAACTGCGTCCCAGATGGCTTTCATGGGGAACCTATCTTCCAGAGACAATCCAGAGATCTCTTGGTCCTATGTAATTTCCTTCAAATCCTCACACTAAACCAGTTAATTCATTCTTTCTAACTGGGACGGGATGAAACTCCCCTAACCCTGTGTCTGCACTCTTCATGTGGCAAACCCTGCATACCTCCATTACAGCATTTGCAATCTAAGTTAGATAGAAACCTCCCTATCTGCCCAGCTTTCTAGACTGAATTTGTGCCCTCTGAATGGAAGCCCGATGTCTTCTTAATTTTTTGGTTTCCAACTCTCCTCCAGCATCCAGTTCTCCCAACAAAATTCCTAGCCCAATTCATTTAATTGAACTAACTTAGATAATGTGAACCACTATACCCAGGGGAGAAAGCCCAATGGTCTTCATCACCTGAATTATCTGGCACATGCAGGCTAAGTGCAAAGAGCACACCCTGACAACCTCAGATAGATTCTCCAAGATGTTGCCTGGGATTGTCAGCTACCTTCTAGGTAAGCAGGAAGAGGACTTAAGCCTGAGGAATGAGGTTTCGGGGAGTACTTATGTAATATGCTCTCCTTCGTGTGTAAAGATGGTGTCAGCCATCAGCAGGCCACATACTTTAAGTGATTTTCTCCTGGTGGTAGCATGTTTATCCTCAGCCTTCCAGCTGCCTGCCTCATCACTCTTGCAGACATCAGGATGCTTTCAGGGGGCCGGCTGGCTTAGTGCCATGGAACAGCGTGTGCTTGGGGCTAGATCACGGCAGCATTGTCAGGGTCCAATTTCCTCTCGTGGACCAGCAGGCAAACCAGGTGTCTGGACAGGATTGGCATCAGTCTTTGCCCGATCTGACTTTGCTGAGATGTCCCTTGACTCCTGAACTCATAAAATTTCCTGTAGAAATGAATTTTCATTGTCGTCGTTCAGTAGTCAAGAAATGGTCTTCCAGGAGAGAATCTTCAGTGTAATTGGCTTTTCATAGCTGCCCAAATCAAACAAAAACAAAAACAACAATAAAAACAAAACCTGAATGTTCTCTGACCCTCCGGTAATGAAAGATGGTTATATCGAGTCTTGCTGGCACGTATGCTGGCTGGCGGCTTTTTGAATGCCTTTGTTTTCTATGTTGTGAAAAAGTCAGCTTAATTCTCTCCTTTTGTAGAGCAAATGCCTCAAGAACTTCTAGCACGGTTTTAGTACAGGTAGAGCAGTCCCTGGGACATGTACAAACCACACATTCCCTCATTTGTTTCAAGCTCAGTCACCGTTTATGGGGTGTGTTTGTGCTTCTCAGGGGAGCCAAGCTGCCCCCAGCCAAAGCTGAACTGCCCTGGCTGAGGCTCCTCCTCGGGGTGGAATGAGGAGGCAGCCCGAGGAAATCTAAGCAGATTTTATTTGGTGGCATTGTGCATTGTTCAGCTTCCTCTTCCCAGCCTACAGTACATTCTCCCTTGTGCCAGATGCTTAGAGAAGCAGTTCATTCAAAGAATTTGCCATAAGGCATGAAACCAGCTCCCTCCCTTTGTTTCTTTTTAGGCCAGGTTGCTGTGCTGGCTCATCCTCCTTAGAAAAATATGCAACCTCCAATGAGTTTCCTGATGATACCCTGAACTTCATCAAAACGCACCCGCTCATGGACGAGGCTGTGCCTTCCATAATCAACAGGCCATGGTTCCTGAGGACAATGGTCAGGTGGGTGTCAAGCAAACCGTGTTCTAAATGGATTTCCCCTACTCCATCTTGTGCTCATAGAACCTCTCAGTGGATCATGCTTTGAAATGCCGCAAACATCTTCTGTTATCCTGGGCATCGATTCAGTTATGAAATGCCGGCCGGTTGGGTGGATGCCACCAAACCTCCATGACTACATTCCCAGTAAGAAGAGTTCTGATATTTTAAGGCTAATTGGATACATGCCAGCAATTAGAGGAAACAGAGATATCTCCTTCCAGGTTAGCCCATTAATTCAATCTGTGCAAAAGAAAGAAACAGCAAAGGAGAATCAATCAATGGATATGGATACCTGTTTGGTTGGATATGGTCGCAAACATGCTGCAGATTCCATGTGAGCCCTGTCCCTGGGTTGTTAGCTGTCAAACGGAGCATGGACAAATGGAGCATTTGCACAAGTATACCAGCACGAAGGATTCATACTTGAGCATTTGTTAGCATCTGAAGTGGTGGCCAACAGAGAAGGGATAGCTGATTAGAAATCTATGACAGCATTAAATAGTCCTCCTTGTGTTTATTTTGGAGCTTATTTCCAAACAATTCCACAGGCTTTCCCAAGTGCTATCCAGTTGTGGGAGTCATCAAACAAAATGTTAATTAACTTTACCACCCTTTTTAAACAGTGACTTTATTGAAGATATGAAAGTACTATAATGGCTGTTGCCCATAAGATGGAAACCACGATATAAAATTTGCAGAAGGGCCCATGTTTTCTGGTTCCTGCCATTGTGCTTAGGAAAAATAGATATCTAAGGAGTATTGAATGACTGAGAGATTTCAGAGAAAGAGGATGCCCAATAGGACTTCTCGTAGGCTTGTGACAGGAGTGATGCCCTTCACCTTTGGCTTTAAATGGATCCTGTTTGTCATGCACATTCTTATGTTTATTAATAGTGACATCAGCACTCCATTTCCCCATCCTTCAGAACTCTTAGCCCCTATCCATGCAATCGGAAAGCCTTCCAATCTGACATGTTGTTGACAAGGTTTTGAACCTCAGAGGAAGGGTATGGAAAAATGGTAGCCATTGCTTTTCTTTTCAGTGTTAAATGAAATGTTAAATGAGTTCACTCATTATTTCTTCCCCTCTTCATAGGAGACATCAGCTTTTCCTTGTTGCTCATGGAAGGGACAATTGCTGAGTGGTTTCAGATGGTTATGACTGTCTATTTATTATGGAACTTGGCCTGTACACACACATACCTCCTTCCTCCCCTTGGAGCCATACTAATGCTCTGCATATGGAAATAAAGGACAAGAACAGCTTGAGAGCATTATTCATGTGCATATATTTTTCTTGAGGTTATTACTAGAAAGCTATGTCACAATTGTTTGAAGTGGAAAAGGGGACAGTTTAATGATAGACCAACAAAGAGATACAAAATGTGATCCTGTCATTTTAGATACCGCCTGACCAAAATTGCCGTGGACACCGCTGCTGGGCCCTATCAGAATCACACTGTGGTTTTCCTGGGATCAGAGAAGGGAATCATCTTGAAGTTTTTGGCCAGGATAGGAAACAGTGGTTTCCTAAATGACAGCCTTTTCCTGGAGGAGATGAGCGTTTACAACCCTGAAAAGTGCGTAGAATGTTTGATTCTTTCTTTGTAATTATTTATGTTACGGTGATCCCTTTCTTTCAGAGAAAGTCATGCCAGACTTAGGTTTTATGCATTTTTAGATGACTTTTAATATTATTTGTAAAAGTCTTTTAATACATAAAAAGCATTATTTTCTCCTTGCCAATAAAGCATGTGTTTATATAGATACACATGTATATATGTATGTTTATGTGTATATGTGTGTGTGTACGTGCAGGCATAGGATCTATTTCATCTTCATTAGATCGATTAAAAGATCATGTTGTGGGCTGGCAGGTGGGTGTGAGGGTGGTGGCAGGAAAAAGAAAACTGACCCAAGAGAGCCTATTAATGATATTATCTTGCCTTATGAAATTAGGTGTAGCTATGATGGAGTAGAAGACAAGAGGATTATGGGCATGCAACTGGACAAAGCAAGCAGTTCTCTGTATGTTGCATTCTCCACCTGTGTGATCAAAGTTCCCCTTGGCCGGTGTGAACGACATGGGAAGTGTAAAAAGTATGTATGTTGCCTCATTGACCATTAGAAAGTCCACAGTGCTTAGAAAGGAATCCTAGGTAGCTCATGGTCATCCTCTTCCTGCAGAACCTGTATCGCCTCCAGAGACCCATATTGCGGGTGGGTAAAGGAAGGAGGTTCCTGTGCCCACCTGTCACCCGGCAGCAGGTAAGGAGCCTGAGGTGTGGGAGAGGGTAAAGTGGCCTTTTGAGGCTATGCATTTTAGATGTATGACTAATCGTGCTCGCACACACCACCACCACATGGTCTTCTGTGCACAAACCTCATCAGTGGGACTGCGAGGCATTCTCCTTCCATTCCTCATCGCATAGAGCACTCCAGCATCACATGTGGCAGATTTCCAATTTATTAATCATCCATCCTCAGACTGACTAAAAACACAGAGAAAAGAAACACAGTGGGCTTCTAAGTATTCCCTGGAGAGAGGGACAAGAAGGTGTGAGACTTGATCACCGTGGTGCGAGAACAGCAGAGAAAAGGAGCAACAGGGTACCAATTAGATTAGTGATGTGGTTTGTCCAGCTGTAGCAAAACTGGCTCCTCTAATTGACCAAACAGGGCTGAGAAGAAATCAGAGCATTTGTTAAGCGATGAATTTGTACTGCAAGCATGGTGTCTACATCTAATAAACCTTCCTCCTGCACTAAAGAACAGTTGACCCTATTACTCATTAGGTAGTCAATCAATTCTTGGCAGTTCTCCAGAAGATCAGCTAGGTCAGGCCAGCCTACTTTGCCTGTGATTTTGGTGCTTAAAATTGTTAGCCTGGCTTTAAAGGCTTAGATGGCATTAGTTAAAAGGTTTCTTTTGTTTTTACTTGAGTAGATGTGAAGTCCAAAATAACGTTTGGAAAAATATTCAGTGCATGCCCTAGACAGGTTATGGCAACTCGAGGAAGGTACCGTATGGCAGCACAGTTCTTTCTTAGGCATTCCTTCAACTTCCCCAGATCCAAAGGGGGAACAGAATCGTCCTCACATCACTCTGAGCCTCCTCCCCCATTTTAGAATAGCTAGACAAACAGACAGAAGGGTATATTGATGACCACCACCTGCATAGTTTGAGGGAAGGTATTCCTATAAGCAAAGCTAATGATAAGTGTAAAGTCTGACCTGGAAGTTTGACTAATGCAAAGCATTGACTCACTAAATATCATTAGATCACTTTGCAATTTGCAAGTAGCAATATTGACATAAGACAGTGTTAGAGCTTTACATCTTTTCATGGGAACCCTTGAGTGAAAGAGAAAGGATCACAAAGCAAAGTGAGGGAAACTAAGAAACGACCTTTCTATATTCAAGTTGAGACCAAAGGTAATGAGACTGATTTTTAAAAATAATTTTTTAATTTGATATGAGAATCTCAAAACTGTTCCCTTAAAGATCTCCTTACACACTTCATTGCTGAAGACATGTGGAACTCTCCTTGGGAAGTGATTTTCATTACCACTAGAAATCTTTATCTTTTGAAGTTGAATTTGATTTTTACCACAGCAAAAAGCATTGGAAAGCAAATATGGTGGATTATTAGATCAAGGTGTCACTTTCAAAATAGTGTGCCTGTATGGCTCATAAATAAGTTCTGAAGGCAGCTGCAAAAATGGGAGTTTCAATTATGTTGTGGGACAAAGCACAGTTTCCCCCAAAAAGGCTAGTATTCCTTTGGATGATTCCAGTGTGCTTATTTTAAAAATAAAAATAGATATTATTAAGATTGGTCTTATTGTTATAAAGCCTGTACAGCCCAATGGTGACCAAGTGGATTTGAAATAAAAGTGAGCATGTAGAGGAGTGTGAGGGTAATAGTCCTGAGGATGGCGTGTAGGGCTGGGAGCAAACGAAATACCTGAGTGGTCTCAGCAAAATGCACCACCATGTCCTGTCACCTTCACAGGCCGCGCATATCCGCCAGCCATTTGTACCTTTGAACACCCTGTTATACAAGTTATTTCTAAGCAAAGAAACAGATAAAGGTCTAGGAAGGTAAGAGTTGATATGAAAGAGAAAGTAGAGAGGAAAAGACCTATTTTTTTTAATTCATAGACTTCTAAATCACTTATATAAGAAATGTATGTTAACATTTAAACTTTTTAAATGTTTAAGAAATGCTCAGGGAATTAGAGAAAAAGAAGGATATAAATAATCCACAAACTAATATTTGAATTAACTGCTTAAACCATGGCTTTTCTTTGGAAATTCATGTTTAAGACTCATTTCTGTAAACTTCAGAGAGAAATTTTCAAGCTATCAACTCCTTTTTTCGCATCTTGTGATCAGTTTCTCAAACTGTGCTAGTTTCTTTAGTGAAACTTAAGACTCATTCTGGAATACTGACTCATATTATTGAATTTGTTTCTGTCTTTCTTCTCTCCCCTCCTTTTTTTAAAGACTGACTTTTGAACAGGACATAGAGCGTGGCAATACAGATGGCCTGGGGGACTGTCACAGTAAGTAAAGCTTTTATCCATGTTTATCTTTGGGCAAAGATGCTTTTATCAAATGGCCTAGAAACATTACCCCACATGTGGAATTGTGTGCACCTGGTGCTAAAACATGCATAAATAACAGACATCATCTTCTAAATATCAAATAAAGAAAATAGTATGTTTTAAAGCCAGTGTTGTCGATGTTGTTGCTATAAATGCTGGCCCCTGTTTCATTATTAGAATGCTGTGGGGAATAGATGGACTCTAGAGGATATTAATTATAGCAGAGCAGTAAGTTATATCAGCGTTTCCATTAAAAAACCACGGTTTTGGGGGCCGGCCCTATGGCACAGTGGTTAAGTTCGGCACGCTCCGCTTCAGCAGCATGGGTTCATGGGTTTGGATCCTGGGTACAGACCTACACCACTTGTCAGCCATGCTGTGGCTGCAACCCACATATAAAGTGGAGGAAGATTGGTTGACACAGATGTTAGCTCAGGGCTAATCTTTCCCAAGTAAAAAAAGAGGGAGATTGGCAACAGATGTTAGTTCAGAGCAAATCTTCTTCAGCAAAACAGACAAACAAATGAGCCACAGTTTTTGTTATTTTTATTATTAACTACTGTTTACTGTAATTTTTAGCCAAATAATAGAAAGATTGATCACTGTAAAAATTCTAGCTTTTTAATTGAATGGGACTGTTTTATTCTCCTTGAACATATCAGTTGACAAAAGTAATTATTTTTTAAATTAGATTTATGTCTATTACCATTTGCAGTAGAAAAAACATTTTAGAAAGAACCCACTAAGTACAGGTGACCCAAAATAACTTTTTTATAGAAATTAACTTACTAGGCTAATCTCAGAGTTGATTTCAAAAGTTATTAGATGGTAACATTTTAGTCAGAACTTTATATAAAGGATTCTGACCCAAATTCTTTCTAGTTGTCCTGTGATCTGAGTAATAGCAATATTCTCCTGAAAATGCTTTATTAATGCTAATTTAGAGAATAATGCCATACTCTTGGAAAATATTTACTTTGCAGTGTTTTAAATGTTATATGTGATGAATTTCAAGAAGCTTGCATTCAAAATGGCACCAAAAAATCTCTCCTAAGGGAATGAAACTATATCACTCCTGATATTTGATTCTATAATGAAAATCATAGATATAACTCTAAATCTTTGAGCCATGAATACTGAAATTTCAGGCTTGAAGGTGCCATTCAACTTTCTACCTTATCTTTTTTAGAGATCAGATATAATCATATAAAGAGGGCGACAGGCAGCCTCATCTCCAAATTCTTTGCCACATATTTTTTGTTTGAAAATATTATATATTGTTATATAATATATATGTTATATATTATATATTCTTATTGATTATGTCTTCACACACAAAATTTGTGAGTTAAGAAATTAGTATAGGAGACAGTGTCATCACCAAAAGATCTGTGCTACTTGTGTGCTATGGGACAATCTGATGTTTGGTCGGTGGATCTTTTTTTTGGAGGGAAGATTAGACCTGAGCTAACATCTGCCGCCAATCCTCCTCTTTTTGCTGAGGAAAACTGGCCCTGAGCTAACATCCCTGCCCATCTTCCTCTACTTTATATGTGGGATGCCTACTACAGCATGGTGTGCCAAGAGGTGCCATGTCCCCACCTGGGATCCGAACCTGCGAACCCCGGGCCGCTGAAGCGGAACATGCAAACTTAACTGCTGAGGCACCGGGCCGGCCCCTGATTGGTGGATCTTAATCATATTGTAGTGCCTTACGGTTCCGTTTTCAGGGAAATAGGTGTTGGTTTGTGTGTCTATGTGAGTGAACTTAATTAGCTGAGTTTAGTAAATAACTTTCTTCATATTTTTATGATCTAGTGGTATGGGCATCTGTAGAAAAAATGAAGTGAATTGAATAGGTAAATATATGCAAAATGTGAAAATGTTTGTTACTGCCTGTATAAAGCGTCATTGCACCAGTAGGCTCACACCACACCTGTGTCCTCGGGCGGAGGAACCTGAGGAAGCCTCTGTCTCTAGCACAGGAGAGAACCTCAGGTCCGAAGCCAGTGACTGACTCCTTCATCTCAGCAGTCAAGCCTCTGTGTTTTCATGTGCTCCCTAACCTTGAACCCCACTCCTGCTGAGGCACGTAGGGTGCCCGCTCAGGGCAGGAGGTAAGGCTGCCCCTCTGCTGCCTTTCCAAGTGTCTTCTCTGCTGCCTGTGCCCCTGCTGGAGCATGAACACTTCTATTAGACTTACCTATTCACATATAGGCACTCAGAGGATTTAGAAAATTGGTGCACAATGACTCTTTAACAGGATTTTAAGGGGAAATGAGGAAATCATAAAGAGCCAGTGTCAGAAGCTGAGTAGCAGGCTGAGGAATCATTGATGTGACCCAGACCCACAGCACACACACACATATGTATGTTGCCTATGTGTGTGTGTGATTATTTTTGTTTTTAATTTCCTAACTAAAACCTCTGCTGAGTTCAGAACATTGTGATACTGGACAGTTCCTCACAGCATGGTCGTGAGGATGAAATGAGAGAGGAGGTAAAGGAAAAAGTGGTCCAGATGTCATTATTTTATCCATATACACATCCCTCTGTATAGAGTAGGGCTTAAATTCTCAGAATCACGTAAAATCACAGTTACCACTCCTTCTACTAACTCTTGCTTGTTCTCTGCCTCTTGGCAACAAAGGCAGTGACTTTGAGGAAACTCACTTTGGGAAGAGAAACAGGGGTGTGAAATCAGACTGAATATATAGCATCTCATATTACAAGTAGGAATTAAGAAGTACTTACTTAGCATTGGGGATCATATGTTAGCATAGTACCGTATTGGCTTGTTTCCACTTATCATGTAAGTCACACTGAGCAGACTGTTAAACATTAAGTAAGCTTCTTCTCCCTTTTGTCTTTCAGATTCCTTCGTGGCACTGAATGGTAAGGAAGACATTGCTCATAATTTAATGTCGATGAAAAGCTACTTGGGAAATCCTGTTTCACTAATCCTCTTGAGTATTTCCAAACCTTAGGTTTCTTTTTTAATTAATTTTTTTATCCTCATTATTTTTTTATAGACATTTCAACTCCTCTACCAGATCATGAAATGTCTTACAACACAGTATATGGTCAGTTCATGGATTTCTTTTTTTTTTTTAATTCTTCAACCACTCATCTCATGGTAGTTTATAGTTTTCATCCCTAAACATCATGGACCAGATTCTTTGTTACTTCAGGGCCCCAATTCACTAAAATTATTTATAGATTTCATGATGCCTCAAAAATCACTCTGCCTGTATGAAACAGTTGACATGTGAGACTGAGTCCTACATTTTTAATCCACATAACATGAAATATGCCAACCTTAGGGAATTTGGTGAATATATTTAATGAGTTCTTGAGGGAGAAGAAATGGCTTTTGGCCATAAGTATATCCAAGATAAAAGGATAGTGCTTATAACTAATAGGCCATAGCTCCTTTACTGACAGAGTACCATTTCCCAGAATGCTGACTTTCAGGACAATCCCCTCTGCAGGAGGAAATCTGTACAGGGTGCAGATCCCAAGTTCTTACTAGCCAGAACTTTCCATTGTAACGTGAAATTAGCCATTGAAATTTAAGCTCACAAAGAGTATGAGTAGTTAGACATATTTTCAGTGAGATTTCTTCAGAACATATACAAGGAAGGGTGACGCAGTGGAAATGACGGGCAAACAGGATTTATCCCATTGTTCCTGCTCTGAAATACAAACACTATATTAAACAAAGCCATTAGGTCCACAAACAGAGTATTCTGAGCTCTTTATAAGTTGAAATGTTCCATTTCCATTTCTCAAAGTTCCCCCAAATGTTTATTAGGGTAAACTATTCATGTGTTTTTTAAATCTAGTATGAAAAACATATGTTTCATAGAAGCTTCTATTCTATTCATAGAAGCTTCTGCATTATAATGGGGACTGTGAGTTTCATTGATATGCAGACATTTTATAGTTTTTGTTTTTAAGATATATAACAGTAACAGTTCTAGGACAGTCTTTAAATGTAGAGGTAGGTCATAAAGGAAGGGGAAAAACTAAAGAGGAGGAAAAAAAGAAGAAAGAAAAGAAAGCAAGTAGATTTAGGATTCAAGGAAGTATTTGAAGATGGCCACAAATGTGTTTAATAGCTCTATGTAAACTCTTAGTCCCTGTGTCTAATTAGCATAAATAAAAAGCCTTTCTTTGAAAGTCCTAAAGACTATCTTATAAAATAGAGCTGTGCAGATGTGGAAAATGGTGCCTGCTTTCTCCTGATTGTCCCCCTTGTGAAATGAGGCATTGTGGAGTAGATGAGCCCGCAGAATTTGCCCACCTTTAACATTCTCTCCTCTATGATTCAAGCCAGAATATTGAACATCAACAACTGGAAGAGAAATTTCTCAGGAGGCAAATATCTCGCTTAGCTTGCCCTTCAGAAAGAGAATCCACATAGCATCTGCTCTTCTCCAATATCATACTTTGCAATGATTTCCTATAATTGAATAATCATTAGCAGATATTGAAAAATTCAGGTCTTGAATCTAATTGAACTAGCAACCTCCCCAGCATTCATCAGTCATACTAAGATCAATTTTAACTCCCAGGTAATTTCTCATATAGATAGAATAATTAAACCGTGAGATGCTCTTTATGAACAAAAATCACTCTCCAATCTATGGATGTCTCTTATTTCATTTACAAAAGGGAAGAAACTTATTAATTCCTCCATATTAACACTTTAAAGGACAATGACCACTCGCCCTCAGCTCTTAATCAGTGGCTTCTGTGATGAAACTAAAGAAGAGTTGGAATTTTCCTTTCAACTAATGATCCTGTCCATTTCAGGCTAAATCTATCCAGTGTGAAGTGGTAAGATGATTAACTGACCATCAAAATGAGGGCTAGTCCAGACAGTACTTACAAAAACACAGGAGACTTTCTCCTCACAAACTATTGTAAGAGATGCTTATTTTGGAGTTAATAAACATGGAATAGATTTAATTCATCCATCAGCAAATATTTGTTGAGTGCCTACTATTTGCCACTGGACTGGGTGCTGTATTTATACCATCAAAGGAAGGACCAAAGTTTGGGGCTGGCCCAGTGGCACAGTGGTTAAATTCACATGCTCTGCTTCAGCAGTCTGGGGTTCACAGGTTCAGATCCCGGGTGCCAACCTACACACTGCTCATCAAGCCATGCTGTGGTGGCATCCCACATACAAAACAGAGGAAGACTGGCACAGATATATTAGTTCAGGGCGAATCTCCTCAAGCAAAAAGAGGAAGATTGGCAACAGATGTTAGCTCTGGGCCAATCTTCCTCATCAAAAAAAAAAAAGAAGGACCACATTTTTATGAGCATGGATGTAGACTAGGAAGCCAATCTCAAAGTCTGGAATGCACCCACTGTTTCTAGCTATGTCCCCGTAAAAAGTTTAGTGACTGAGGGTAGGCTCATAGAGTAAACTACAAAACCAAAACTGTCTAACTCAGATAAAGAGATCATTTCAATAAACCTTGCAAACTCTCTGCTTGGCAAAATCTCTATGCAACACCATTTGCATGTGGAAGAACCTCTTTTTAGTGAATTGGACCCTGATTATTTCCCTTCTCTCTTCCTCTCTTGTATTGATTTAGTGTCTCTTTTTTGTGTCTAATTGGCTACAATCATTGTTACTAGGTTAGAGTAGTTTGAAGGGTCTCTAACCTCTGGAATCACAAAGACTTGTAGATATAGAGAAACGATACAATGCATATAAAAGTTAACTTTTAAAATCTATCTATTTCTTTGTATATTGTAAGAATAACACATCATAAGCTCTATTGACTAAAATAGGACCTTTCTTATTGGATTAACAAGACAAAATTACAGATTCCAAATCTATTGACATTAAATACCATATTCACGACTGATTGCCTATTTTTGTAGTCTTATTATGGTTACAAAGTCTCTTAGGGAATGCACAAAAATAATGTAGCCTGTAGAATCAGATTCTAAGAAGGAATATAAGTGATTTCCTTTTAACATTTTTAGGCTTGGAGAAGTAATAATAATACACCTCTTTGATTTCAAACTATGGTCTGCTGCTTGCCGGTGCTCTGGCATGGTGGTCCTAAAACTTTTGAGAGTCAAGTATTGCTTTCTCCAACTGCTTCACGAGTGACACGTATTGCCTCTCCTCAAACATAAGTTTAAAAGATTGCAAAGCTCATGCTGCTCTGTTTTTTTTCTTTGGAGTACATCAGATGCATAGTTTCTCTAGATTTACATATAGAAAATGGAGATGTGGTGGGTATTAGACTAACACTTCAGCAATAGGAAGGAGCTGATTTCTCACATTTGTGTAAAACATTTTCCTACCTAACTACCATCTGGTCCACATTAATTTCCTCTCATAGCCATAGATTTCCATTACCAATGAGTTTTCCATGTCTTTGCAGCATATGGGCCAGGAAATCTTTCTACAGAGAATGTGTCCCTTAGGCATATATTTCCCCTAGATTACTGTATTAAGAAATGTTCTCCCTAAACCATACTTATGGCATTACCATAAAATTGCCCCTTGAACACAGTTAAATTGAAAGTGCTCAAAATGTATATCAATTGAGGTAAAAGAAATTCTTACTACTTAGAAGAGAGGTTCTTTTTTTCCCTTCCCCCCTTTCTGACTCCCTACAAAGCTGTTTCTAATTGTTTGCTTATGCTGGGTGCTGAATTCTCTCTTAGGTTGACCATATATTTTATTAGAGCAATGTTGAATTCAAGAGTAGAAAATAGAGGCTCTATTTTAGCCGTCAATATAACAAAAAAGGAAGTAAAAGAAATTCTGTATTTCCAATTCCAGGTTAATTTTCCTACCAGTTCTCTTATCAGTATTATGAAATGAGATGTGAAACCCAAAATGTAAAAACACAAAGTCTAGAAGCAAGCATTCTTGAGTTTTAAATGAACGTGTTTTTAGCAACTGAGCATGAACCAGACTATTTGCAACAAAGCGGGTGTTTGAAGCTATGTGGGAGCCAAAAAACCTCCACACGGAAAGGGGCCTCTTACATGGTACCAAAGCTTTGCGGTAGCATTTAAATGTGGTGCTTCCATAAAGATCGTTATGGCTTAGATGAGCCACTTGACTGGCTTGCTTTTCCTTGCTATCTTTTTTATATATACTTTGTAATTTGCAGCATTAAAGTCTCCTGGGAATCCCACTTCAATAATATTGTAAAAAAGAAGAATGCAGTGCACTCTTCATTCTACTCTTTCTTTCTGGTTGCCAGTATTTTATTTATCACATACATGGTGATCACACCCAAGGCCACTTGTGAATCTGTCCTACTTTCTACCAAAGGCATCAACTACACATTCACAGTAGTTGCCCTGCTGTCTTTTTAAAAATTGTTCAAGAGGTTGCTATAAGATGGTTTAATAAGCCAAAGCCTCTCCTTGAAAATCACAGAAAGGTTCTATTTTATTTCTACCAGAAAGAACAGGTAGTGGGGCTGCTTTAAATCATTGTGATAGTTCAGATCAAAGCACCTGACACAATCTGCATTTCACCTTGTGGGAGGAAAGCTGTGGAATGTATTCACAGGAAATGTCCAGAGTTTCTGCTGTGACTCGCAGCCTAGCCATCCTTATTCTGACATTATCATGGTAGGCTACTCTGCAGCTCATAAAGCTTTCCCTTTGCAATGGGGATCATATCAGTGAGCGAGCCCTCAAAAACAACCTCTCACAAGTGTGAGTCATGAAACCATGAACCTGACTTTGTCAGGAGACCCAAAGGGCACAGCCATAACAACATGGAGCAGTTGAGGGCTCCATTCCAGGGAAAAGGAGGTGGAAGCAGGTCCTTTTAGAAAGCAGTCACTACTCCCAGAAAGAAGAATGCCTGTGAAGTTGACTTGCAGCTGAAAACTAGACACACCCTCCATGAGAAAGGCTCCATGAGAAAGGCTCTGGACAGCTGAGTTATTTGTGATGGGGGAGAGGCTCGCCCACTACCATAGAACCTGCCCCATCAGTCACAAACGGTGTCCCCAGAGTGGACACATTCTGCTGTCAGAGTTGATATGGGAATACCAAAGAAGGATACTAGTATTTCTTGAGTACCTACTATGTGGCAGACACTGTTAGATACTTCAACCATTATGTCACTTTATCCTCTCAACACTGGGAGGTAAGTGACATCATCCCCATTTTATGCACAAGGAGAACCAAGGCCCAGAGAGGTTAAGTGATTCCCCAAGGCTTACTCAGCAAGCAGCAAAGATAGGATCTGGCCCTTCATCCTCTTCCTACAAGTTCAAGGGGTCTTCTGCTGAAACCCATCCCCTAGCCTTGTTATTTCTAAGGCAATCTCCTTTCAGTCTACAGCCAGTTTGGGTGGCGCTCCTCCTGGCCTCTGAGCACAGGGAATGTGGGTGTCCCCAGTGATGTTTTCCCTAACTGTATTTGTGATGAAAACAGGGCACTCCAGTTCCCTCTGGCCCAGCACCACCACGTCAGATTCGGCGGCTCAAGAGGGGTATGAGTCTAGGGGAGGAATGCTGGACTGGAAGGATCTGCTCGATTCACCTGACAGCACAGACTCTTTGGGGGCAGTGTCTTCCCATAATCACCAAGACAAGAAGGGTAAGGCCTTGGAAATGCCTCTTCCTCTGGGGGGAGAGGGAGGGAAAAGTGGGGAGGACTGTGTAACTGCTTCCAGCTGAATCATAGAAGCTTTTAAGGAACCTCCAACAGACTGTGACTGAAAGCTTCTCAAAAAAGACTGCAACTCAGTCCTCTCTACTAGGCTTGATCCTAAACCATTCCCCAACCAGGGAGAAACCACACAAAACAAATAACACATCCTCTCGGCTTCCTCCGCCCCAAAGAGGTGTGGCTTGGCCCCAAGCAGATGCTGGCTCCCGAGATCCCTTTCCACTCCTCTTAGCTCATTCTGTGATGTTTGGATCCTCTTTTCCCACCATCGTGAGATGGCATGCAGTGCGGACTTTGGCAAGCACACGTAATGGAAGTCAAGGCCTGTTTAATCAGTGAATGGAGAAATAGCCGGGAAGAATCTTTTCTGGCTGGTAGCATCTCTCACTCTTGCGTGGTGCTGAATTTGAATAAAGCCGTGGTCCTGGGCCGTACTGTAATTGCCCTTAGAGGACAACAGCTCACACAAAAATATGTTATTTAATCAAGCAGAATTGTTGTGCATTTAAAACGGAAAGGAAGCTGCTCTAAATGAAAGGGATTCTACTGTGAACTGTCCCAAATTCTCCCTTGCTTTCTTTGCTCAACTAGAGACAGGAAATGTCCTCTCTTTTCTCACCATTCGCTGCTTCTGGTAACACATCCTACTTTAGTTGCAGCTGCAACCAAAGAGGCCTTTACTTGTCCAAAAAACAGTCTTGTAAATCAGAGACTGAAAAGCCCAGTTATGTTGCGAGCTGTTTCCCCCCATTCAGAATTGTTTACCTCTATATGTTTTCAAGAGTTTCATCCAAGCAGGAATTTGAGTCTCGATGGCAGACCAGCCGCAGTGACCCTTGGACAACAGTCTCTAGCGTGTCCTCCCCTAGAGTCTTCTGTATCCATATTTCCATCTTTACTTTTAGAGAAGACTTTCAAGGCAGGCTCACATGCTAAATTTTCATCCTCTTTTTTGTGTCTCATCTCCTGAGAGTGCCATTCCCTCTGCTGCTCTATGTGCCAAGCCGAAATGTGACGATGGAGCCCTTTTAACTTGTTCTTGGGCAAAAAGCTTAACTGATTTTATTACTGTTCTATAATTTATTAATATACCCTGTCCCAAATCTTAAAAATAAAAAAAAAGTGGTTTTGTCTCAGCAGCCTCCTTAAGTTAGAGGGATCCCCCCATCCCAAGAAAGCACCAGGCCAGTTGGTGATGGAACGGAACTGTCACAACAGGCCACAAGCCCTAGCGTGTGCCATTATTTGTTATGTGTGGCTCCAGCCTGCAGACGTGTTAGTCTTGGCCCAGTTCTCAAGAAGAGACAACTCAGTAAAATCACTTTGTGTTTGCCCAGTGCAACTTTCTGAAAAACCAAACAGCCTTTCCAGTAAGGCATTAAATATGTCAACCAAACATCCAGCCATTGGTTACAATCATTTTCTCTTCACTTCGCGAGATGGGTGGCGTGAATTTTCTCCAGTCGTTAACTCTCCCAAGGGATGGAGGTTTTCAAAGAGTCCAATTAACACTTTGACGGATCACTTTCAAATTCGGCATTGTTCATTCTCTTGGGTCTTATTATGAATATTGACAAAGCTGGAAGCAGTCTACAGATTGTCAGACAATGGTGGCAGAGGTGACTGCATGGGTGTTTAACATGATCACTGTTCTTGTGCTATGAACTCCTTGCCTTGCCCTATCAAATTCAAGTTTGATTTTTGACAATTGATTATGTATTTGATGGGGCAATGAAAATGAGTTGTTATGCAGAAATTAAAAAAAAAAGATGTAGCTTAATGTTCCTTTTACCATGATTTTTATGATTTTAATTTCCATTTTGCTGTGAATTATTTTTCTGTTTAATGTTCATGATTTACTTTCAACTTTTGTTCTGTTTTGCCAAGCACTGTGTGGTATGACTTGGTGATGGCGTTATTCTGTTGGAAAAGTCTTTTCTTTTCTGACTCATTATGATGTCCCTTAAATTGACCCAATCTGTGATCCCTTCGCTTTTTTTTCATTCCCTGACGTGGGTGCCTTAATGATGTCACATCCGTGTGTGCAGCATCTCCTGGGATGCGAGAGTTTCATGGGTTTTCTGAGGGCCTCTGGCGGGTGCTCTTTTCACTGGGTCGATTGTCTCTTGGGAATGTGACATTTGTGTGCCCCAGCTTTAGGAGCTAAATATACTCTGGAATTGTTTCTAAAATACCGCACATTTCCCCGCTAAGCAGAAAATGTGTCCGCTGACCAGTTAGCTGAGGAAGAGTCAAGTGTCCCATGCCCTTTTTACTTTGGCCGATGGAAAAAAGACCAGTGAGCAAACGAGCCCACAGCTGTGCTTTGCAGCTATGTTGACCATGACTGGGCTGGTCCATTCTTTGTCCCACCTCATCCTCCAAACAGTTCCACATTTCCAGAGTATGTTTGCTTGCCTTTTTCTTTCTTTTCCTTGCTATGTCTTTCGTCTTGATTTAATCCTGTGCGTCCCTCACATTCTGTCAAAGCACTGTCCCTCACCTTGCAATCTAACCCCTTCTGCTACCATTGTTCTTAGCCTCCCCCTTTCAAAATACTAGACTCAAGCCCTCTGCCCCCCTGTGGAATGTTCCAAGGCTCTTTCCTTCTACACTGTGAGTAGCATTCTGATGCTGTATGTATATAGTCACACTAACAAAGTGTGAGAAGAGACCTGCAAAGCACGCAGAAGCATTATCACAGAAAATGAAGCAATTTTCTCTCTCAGTAACTGGCCTTGCCCTTCATTACCCTACTGGCCTTGTCTAATGTCTCTTGTCTTTGCTGCTTTTCTTTAAAATCGCGTGATATCTTTCGAGCCCCAGATTCATTAGTGAAAACAGAGCCAACTGCTCTGTTTTATCTCTGGGTCCCTAGATGTCTGGAGCCTGTAGACCCAGCCCTTTAATCACCAAGTTGATAAATTAGATGCAGCCCTGGCTACTTCTTTCTTGGTTTTGCCACATTTAAAAATATATATTATTTATTCATCCTATAACTATTGAGGTGGTAATGAGTAGTTACAAAGAGGCTCTAATTACATATGAATAAGAAAGAAAATCCAGTTTATTTTTAGATCTGGCTTGTCTCCCCTCACCCCCCTTCCCACAGCAAAAGAAATAAGAGCTTTCTTTTTTAGGTTAAGCAATCGTAAGAATTAATAGCCACTCTTGTGCCTCTTGTTTCTGACCAAAAGTAACAATACTATAAAACCCGATTTCCAAGAAGACTGCAAGATATGTGAGGAAATTAGCCATGTACCGATCTGCCAAGAGAACTGGTAGCATCAATATAAAATGTAAATGCTGACCGCTGCTGCAAGGACACAAGAATAAATCAGAACACAAGAAAATCCCCTTCTTCAGACTTTATTTTATAGAGTTCTTGTGAGCTCTCAGAAAACAGATAAAGTAGTCAATATATACAAAGATGTTGCCATTTGATTGGAAATGCCAGAATTGTGGTATGCTTATACATTTGGGGAAATCCTTAAAGTGAGAGATTATCACTTTATTACATTTAGTCAAGAAGATATGCTCATTACAGACAAGGAAAAGAAGTAGCGACAGAATTTAAATTAGAGATCAAATGAATAATTTAAACTAAAATGTACAGTAAATGTTGAATAATCAATGTACAAGCTATTTGTGTAAGCAATTTCTAGTTTGGGAAATAATATTCCGGTAAGATTCCTAAGATCTGTAAAGGTAATGAATATATTGTCCACACTTCATAACCATCCTGAATGGAATTTTATAAATCACAGTTTTTCAATAATCCTCTTTATAGTCAATTATATTCCTCAAATACATCATAGCTTACAGTAGTATTGTCTCCAAGTGGGACATGCAGCAACCTACATGAGATGATTTAGGTGGCTTGGGGACACGATGGCCTTGAAGAATATTGAATCATGCGGTGGAAAGTTACTATGCACTTTTCCTTTCTCTTTCAGTCTTCTTGGTTATGTCAAGGCAAAAGTCTCAATTTGGTGCTTTATCATTAACAACTGCCTCGACTTGCTACTATTCCATTTTGACAAGAAAGAGAAAGATTAGACCAAGGGTTTTGCCTTGCCGCTGAAGCTAGCTGGAATTAACATTGTTTTGCTTTCAGTTACTATTATTTATTTATTTATTTTGTTTGGTTTGGTTTTTCTTTTTGAGGAAGATTAGCCCTGAGCTAACTGCTGCCGATCCTCCCCTTTTCGCTAAGGAAGACTGGCCCTGAGCTAACATCCATGCCCATCTTCCTCCACTTTATATGTGGGATGCCTCCCACAGCATGGTGTGCCAAGCGGTGCCATGTCCGCACCCGGGGTCCAAACCAGTGAAACCCGGGCCGCCGAAGCGGAATGTGTGCACTTAACCACTGCACCACCAGGCCGGCCCCCCAGTTAATTTTATTTTTATGGTTAATTTCTACCTAGGAAAAGTGACACTTTTTTCCATTTATAATAACGATATAAAGTTTCCATTTGAAATACATTTTAAAGGTAATTTGAATAAAATATTAAGTAAATAGTAATGCAGAAAGTATGGGGATATAAAAGTACTAAGGAAATAACACGGTAGGTGAGACTGAATGGATCGTTGAAATTGTAGCGTCGGTAGTTAAATAACTAAAGTTTGGGTAACTCTGGCCTAGAGCAATTAAAAGAGTCTGGGGAGGATTAAGCTACTACCAAAACTTTTCTGGCATTTGGAAGAACGAGATTTAATAACCGCCACACCTTCTGTTGGCTGGGTTCTGAGTGTTGCAATTACACGATCTAGTCTCTTCTGATTTCTCTTCCAACTACTGAGCTTTGTGATTGGGAATGAGAAGTTGAGTCAAGTAGGAATTTAGAGTAAAATGGATTTCGACTAAAAAGAAATTAGTCATTCTAGGCTTGTTAAGCATCTGGCAAGATTTTTCTGCAGACCAG